GATCCTGGCAGCCCAAGAACAAGCCATTACAACAAATGCCATCAAAGCCAGAATTGAAAAGTCAGCGACAGATCCTAAGTGTAGACTCTGCAAGGAAGCAAATGAAACAATAGATCACATCCTCAGCTGCTGCAAGATCGTGCAGACAGACTACAAGCAGAGGTATAACACTGTTGCTCAGATGATTCACTGGAACTTGTGCCACAAATACCATCTGCCTGTGACAAAGAACTGATGGGATCACAAGCTTGAAAAAGTTACAGAAAACGAACACGTCAAACTACTCTAGGATTTCCAAATTCAAACTGACCATCAGTGTCAATCAGTAATGTGAGGCTGAAAGTTGGAACAGGGCATAGGCCTCATTTACGCTGCCATATAGTATCCGGATTATCACCTTTGAATTGGATTAAATGGCAGTGTAGATTCATATTTTCCTGTTCAAAGCAAATAATATGGATTATCTGTTTTGATAATCTGTATTATATGGCAGTGTAGATCCAACCGTTGTCATGATGAACTTCATTTCTAGATTCACTACTTTGGGAAAGCAATTCTGTGTGCTCTAATTGTAAAAGTTCCAATGCATTGTGTCGACGTTTCCTCGGGTTTTTCTGTTTCATAAATAAAAAATTCCCTCGCCATGCAATTAGTGAGAGAGAAACTATGATTCAGAAGTGACCTAACTTCCATTTCTGGAGTGGAAGTGTTGCAAACACATGCACACAGATCTTGTGTGGTTCATTTCACCAACAAATGATGGAACTTCATTATTTTGCCGGGCTATGGGATATCTTTCCAAAAACCATAGGATTAGTATTCAGGGATACATTAACAGATACTGGGTTGTTGTTTTGTTTTGTTTTGAGAACCAGCTTAAATTGACTATTGAACTATGACTCTGGAGAACAGTAATAGGAACCTACTAAGTGACCTTGGGCACATAACCTTCTCTCAGTCTCAGAGGAAGGCAAGGGCAAATTGCTTCTGATATGGTTGCTGTAGGTCTGAAATGGCTTGAAGGCACACAACTCTAACACCATTTTATTCTTGAGTACACCATGAGAAAATAAAGACTGTTGTGATCTCCACAAGAAGCCCAGACAGGATACAATGATCAATCTGGAAAATGTCATGAGTCCCCAGGCTCACAGTAAAAGACTCCTTTGAAACATGAACACAGAAATTCAGAATGTACACTCTGTGTGCATTCCTTCAAGTTGGCTGTTGACTCATGGTGACCCCACAAATTTCATAGGCTTTTCTTAGGCAAGTAGACATGGTTTTATCAGTTTCTTCTTCTGAAATACAGCCTACAGCATGCGGCATTCGTTGGAGGTCTCCCTAATACAAATCAGGACTGGTCCTCAGGCTTCCAAAATCAGTCAAAATCTGGTGCCTTTACTGTACTATATATTTTAATATATATATTAATATATAGGTAAAGGTAAAGATTTTCCCCTGACATTAAGTCCAGTTGTGTCCAACTCTGGGGGTTGGTGCTCATCTCCATTTCCAAGCCAAAGAGCCGGCGTTGTCTGTAGACACCTCCAAGGTCATCTGTCCAGCATGACTGCATGGAGTGCCATTACCTTCCCACCGAAGCAGTACCTATTGATCTACTCACATTAGCATGTTTTCAAACTGCTAGGTTGGCAGAAGCTGGGGCTAACAGAGAAAGCTCATGCCACTCTCTGGATTCGAACCTGTGACCTTTCGGTCAACAAGTTTAGCAGCTCAGCGGTTTAACCCACTGCATCACTGGGAGCTTCTATATTCTCAAACATATTATATGCCTCAATTTAGCTTTCAGTATATAAACGTATGTAACTATCTGTCTGGCTATGCTTAACCTTATTGAGAATTTTTTTCTTTACTCTGGTTTAAAATTCCAAAATCTACATTCAATATAAAAAATCTATCCTAAACAGTGATATATATATTTGAAGACATTTTAAAGCTCTCCCTTATGAATCTACAAAAATGCCTTGCAGAGACAGGTTTCACATGCATTTGGGAAGCATGTTTGCTTCAGTTACAGCACTGTAAAATATGTCCTCTCAACTGAATGTAGAAGTGGATTGGTAGTAACAGAATTTTAATTCTTCCCTAATAGTTTGTTACATAAGTTGGACCAGTTAATGGACATGGGTTTCACAGCATTAAGACTGGTATTCATACGAAGAAGAATTTAACCAGCAATTAGTCACAGCTTCTCTTGCCATTATGGAGATATAAAACGTCAAAATTTAACTTTTCTCTTTTGGGCAGGTTATCCCATTAAGCTAGTCCTGAAAGTGGATGCTAAAAAAGGGGTTGAAAATAACCAAGGAAACTACAGGCAATCTGAAGTAATCCCGCATGTCAAATCTGAAGACAGACACATTTTTCTTCAGCTTGGAACAACATGGAAGGTCTGTGTTGGAGTTTTATTGATCAGTATATCAGAATATCCAAGTACTTTGATATTCTTTTGTTAGAATTTCACTGCATGAATCTATGTTGTTAAAAGTTAACAACTGAGAAAGTGGTAGGACTGCTGGAAGTGGAACTGAAAGTGCAACAAGGCCAACATGTGAGAAAAGTGGAACTGAGATGAGTAAAGAATGAACATGTAACAAAATTGGTTGAAAGACTCGATCTAAGCAAACCATGTAATGTTAGATTCTTCTGTCCAGAGAAGGGTTTCCACTAATCACCAAGTTCTGGCATTGAATGTGTTGTCCAACATGAATCTGATTTGACACTTGAAAAGTAACAAATCGCTATAGTAAAAATTTGGTTTGTATAAAATGTACTAGTAATTAGTTCCAGAGTGCATGCAAGCGAGTATGGTAGAGAATGAGTATCTGCATGTTGAAATGAAGTGGCTAGAGACTAAGAGGAAAAGTGGCCTGGGATAGTGTTGTGTGAGGATAAAAGCAATTGGCATTGTGGATTGGAGGAGAGAGTTGAAATACTGCATATTAGTTGATGGAAAGCATAAACTGTTCAGTCCATGACTCTGAATACTGTTGACATAAGGGAAGTGTAGCCAAGTGTTTATGTGCTGGAGGGTGACAAGCAATGAACATAAACACAACACTCTACAGCTGTAATGAATTAAAGCATAATCCTTGTATCTTTTCTATAAACATGCCTACTGTTTAGTTACTACCACTGAAAATATTCAAGTACAGCCCGAGAGCCAAAGATAATGTAAGACTTTATATACTGATAATACTGTGACTTATACACTCTCAGGACTGTAAACTGACCCTGGTGACAGTATAGCCCCTAAAATAGTGTGGGAAGTCAGTTCTGTTTGCCCAAGAGGGTGAATTGTAACTTTGTTTCCAATGAACAAAGGCCAGGGAATGCCACATATGGTGAACACACCTCAACAGCCATGGAGCCCACTATGCATATTAATGTCATTTTCAATGGGAAAAAATGCATGTGCAGTGAAGTGCAGATTATTCAGTAAATGGGTGGAAGCTTGCTTTTAAAGACAAAACTGAATAACTGAAATAAGAATGGCAAGAGCAATACAGTATAAATCAGGTTCAGACACTAATTTAGGGTTTTAAGCAGTACACAATTAAGGGACACAGCATAATCCCAAGGCTTCAGAGTGCAATCCAAACAGAAGAAGATAACCAAGGGTTAGAGATGAAGCTATGCTGAATTCAAATCCATCCCTGCTCAGGAGTGCTGAGATCACTTTTGTCTTGGCCTAACTTTGTGCCAGCACTGAGGCTGTATCCTTGAGTTGCAGGAAATTTGCATCTGTCTTAACTTTGCTCTTTCATCGCAATCTTTCTTAATGTTTTCTTTCTCTTCTAGAGCAAGCAAGTTAGTTGCATTCACAGATCACTGAGATGGGCAAAAAGGAGATTCCAAGACTAGTAGGAGAAACTATTGGCAGAAACAACATGTGCCTAAACATGTAACAGCCAGAATTGCGCTTTAATTATAATACGGCCAATAATCCATTATCTGGGCTGCTGTTGAGTCTTCCAGGCTTTATGGCCATGTTCCATGTTGCCATACATCCTGGGAAACTCACAGCAACCCAGTGATTCCGGCCATGAAAGCCTTTGATGACAAATCCATTCTGTCCTCTACCCCAGTTCCCAAGAGGCAAAGACTTAAACAAATCCAAAACTTTAGGTCTACCCTTGGTTAGAACCTTTTGTTGAATATGACCAGCATGAATAACCTTCACCAGCAAATTGTGTGCCTTTGTAGAGGTTTTAAATGAATATTTTTTTATTAACAGAATATTCATCCTACATGTTAAGATGCATATTGAAAGTACCATCTGAATGACTAATAAACAGTAATTAAAAGTTAATGAATTTCTGATCCAAGGTCATTTAGTACAGCTGACACAAACAGCAAAATATATTGTCAAATGTAAACGATGAGCATTACAAATATTGTTTCAGAAAGATGATTTCAGTGAAGAAAAACTTTTTTTTGCCTGCACAGGCTTTAGACTACATCAAATTGAGTCACAAAATGCTCTGCAAGTATTCTAATGACTTTGGCTCAGATATGCATCCCAAGAGATCAGGCAAAAAGTCCTTTTTAATGCAATCAGGAACAAAATGACAGCTGAGTTTCACATCTTGAGTTATGTTTTCCCCTCAATCAAAAGCTGAGTTGAAAGTACTAAGATCTTCAATGAAAAAAGCTTTTGAAGCCTTCCTATATCACTGTTTCCAGTCTTAGCTTATACTTTCACATGCTGCATTTAGGCTAGACTATTATGTACATAACAAGAATGTGTGTTGAGCCAAGAAGTCAGTATTCAATCTTTTAAACTATGAAATCAATGCATTTTCTGATTCTCAACAAGTCAGCTCAACCAGAGGTTAAGAACTGAATACATTCTCAATTGTAATTTCCTCTAGAGAGAAATATATAGCTGGACTCAACCCCCAGGCTTAATTCTGAACAGACAGTAATAAATTCATGGATTTCAAAAAGGAAAGAGGCACCACAAAACTCAAAAATAAAACTTAAATTTATGTTTTTACTGTAATTTTAGAACACATTTTGTATACAATCAAATATGGGAACAAAAGAACACAACCTGTTGATTTTTTTATGTTGCTACCCAGACACCTTCATAAAAGTCAAACCTTGTATCCAGCTTTAGCCAAGAAATTCAATGCATTTTCTATCCATGATTGGGTTTCCAATTGGTGGGAGAATCTGTAAGATTTTATTTTTGAAGCCCAATTTGTAAATATTTGAGCTAGCATTCAAAATGTATTCACATGGGTACAATCATGAGATTTGCTGACTAATACCAGCAGTTTATTACAGATGTAACCATACTGTAATCAAAAAGGAGGGTGGTAAATGCAAAATTAAGCACACAATCCCATTTTTCACACATGTAGCTGCTATAGAAATCCCTTATTTGACACATATGCAAGAAATATTTGGGATTTCAAACTGTGTGCGCTTTATGTCAAACAGCAGCAGCCATTTTAAAAATACTGCTAAAAGCAGTTACACCTGCTTGTGCCTTTAGAATACAAGCTACACACAAAAATTCAACTCAGTGCTTTATGAGAGATTTAACATGCGTACTAAAAGTAGCTGCATACATGTAGCAAAGAATGAAATCAATGACACTGGGAAACAAATAAGAAAATGGATAAGGACCTTACATGACAGGATACAATCAGAACAGGGTAAGAAATGACACAATTGAAGTTGGAAACTCAGGTGTGCAGGTGACAAATTAGCGTTATGAAGAGACTCTAAAGGCACATTTCAGATAGCACAATGATTCTTAATCAAGAATTTCTTTAAAAGGAACGAGAAGTGCATGTTTAGCAATGTTCTCTGAACACAACTAAATGCTTAGTCCAAATGTTTCATAGTATTCTCCTCAGTCAATATGGCTTCTCAGCACAACTCCCATTTCAAGCAAAAACAAGAGGGAGGGGTTGGATGGCTGGGTTAGTAAAGGCTGACTGTACTAACAATGTTTACTCGTCAGATCCCACTGATCTCTTCTGTGTTCTTTTGCGTGGTAACCGTCTTGGTGAAGCTTTGTCTGAAAGGGGAAAAAAATAGTATTTACCGACCAAGATCAGTTCACTGAAACCAAGGAACAGAAAACTATGTCTCATTTGATGACACAAGGAACCATCATGCAAGAGGCAGACCTGAAAGCTGTATATGCTGTCTCAAGTTATACACATGCAGCTAGTAGCTATTGATTCCTAAAACAGTTGGAGAGCAAACTATTCAGTCTCAGATTAGCTATGGTACACTGGATGCCCTTGATCAAGCTGTTTTTGCTCTGTTTCAATTCCTAAACCTAGAATCTAAACTAAGAGTGCACTGATTTGCACAGCAGTCCTAAAGATGAAAGAAACGTGGCCTATTCCTTCTCTTCTAGACAGATAGATCTGAAAAATAGCTTTTACATTTGTTATCTTAAAAGTTTAACTCCATCATTACGTTAGTACATTCCAAAAAGATATGACTACTATAGCATCTTAAACTAATATATATAATTCGTCAAATAAATTTGTTAATCTTCAAAAAACCACTTGATACTTCAATTATGCTCAATAAAATGCTTTATTTGATGATGCTCAGTGAAAGTCTAAGAAAAGAGGAAGACCACAGGGATTCTCAAACTTTTTGAGCCGCAGAGTCCTTTTTGAAGTAAAAGTTTCTTATGGAGCCCCCAGAAATGTTTTATATTATATTATATATGATGTATATATATCAGGCATGGCCCAGGCCAGTGGCAGATTGATGGAGAGTGTTTGTGTGAACTAATTCACACAGTGCAAAAAATAAAATAAAAGGAAAGAAAGAAAGAAAGAAAGAAAGAAAGGAAAGAAAGAAAGAAAAATACAATACTGAAAATGAAGAACAATTTTAACTAACATAAACTTAACAGTATTTCAGTGGAAGACCCCTGGGGCCATCTAGTCAAACCCCTTCTATTCTGCAGGAAAAGCACAACTGAAACACCTCCAACAAATGGGCATCCAGCCTTTGTAACAACAACAGCAGCAGCAGCAAACCTAGAGGCCATTGAGTTCAACCCCCTTCCACCATGAAGGAAAAACACAATCAAAGCACCCCTGAGCGATGGGAGGGAAATAGGGTTTTGGAAGTAAAGAAAGTGGGGGGGGGGGGGGGAAGCATCTTGGCAGCGAGGGGAAAGGGTCTGGGTAGCAAGGAAAATAGTCAGGAAGGTGGGGGAGAAAGGGTCTGTACCTCAGGAGGATGCTGTTGTTGCTGCTGTTGTTTCCAGCATCTTAAAACTTTAATTTCCCTGCATTTCTCAGTAGGCAAGAGAAGGAGGTAGGAACCACCATAGTGCCGTGGAACCCCAACTATCACCTGTGGAGCCCCAAGAGCTCAGTGGAGCACAGTTTGAGAACCCCTGCTATAGGGGGACTGATTCAATTAAGGAAGCCACATCCTTTGGTCTTTAAGACCTGGGCATGGATGTCTTTTACTAGGGATCTCAATAAGCCAAAGCTAACTTGATGGCAAACAACACAGAACAATTCAAGTTAGTACAAGAACTAGACAAATCTAAGTGACTAGCTGCTTAGTTCAAGTCAATGTATACAATTTTCTCAATTGGGGGAGGGGTTTATTTATTTAATTAATTACTGTATTTGTATACTGCCTTTCTCAGCCAATTGGCGACTCAAGGCGGTTTCCATTGTTTATCTCTGTAGGCATTGTTTATCTCCGTAGTGTAGTCACTTTACAATACTACAATAAATTCTACAAAAAAGTACAATAGTGCTGCAATAACAACAGAACAATTCTGTTAACAGGCAGAATTATCCTGTTCAGTCCTGTCCTAGCAATGCCATGCCTTCTGTCAACCCCCTAGCCAACAATCCTCCAAATCTGCTTTTCTCTACTTTCATGTCAGTCTGCACAGCTTCTCCCATTTCTATACCCTGTATTTTCCACAAGCCCTTTTTGTTACTTCTATGTTCTCATAATCCATTCCTCCCCCAGAACCATTTCATTCAAGCTTTGCTCAATTGTCACCTTGTCACGCAAGCAGATTTTTCATATCACGCAGCATGCATTGTAAACATTTTTATTCTTAATGTTAGTACTGCATTAAACGTCCCATTTTGTAACATTGTCCTTTAGCATTATCATGTAATTGGACCTGTCAACAGGCAGATCTCTTCTTTCTTTATTCTACTGATTTCTACTTTTTTCTCTGCAGGGCTAAGTCTTAGAATTCTCTAGTATGAAGCCAATACTACATGTTCTCCACCTGCCCTGGCCAACAATGGAAGTTAATGCATTCCTGGATGCATCTTTCAAACAAACAGGGAATGGATAAATCAGAAAATAGCAATATAGAATATTTCTGACCTTTCTCAGTGATCTTGCAGAGTTAAGCACTGCAGTTGAACACATTCAACTGCCATAGATAACTAGAATGGGTTGATGAAATTACATCCAGTAGCTCAATTTCAGCAATCAAACATTATTAACATGAACATTAATTTTGTGTTTGAGCATTAACACCAACTAAAATATTTAACAGCTAATCTACCAAGTCAAATTAAAGCAAGACTTTTCTCACATCACAGAAATATGGGACTTGCCAAGACCTGATGATATTTTACCACCACATGCATTTTTACCAAAACTATACCAACCACCAAACAAGAATGCATTCAATGTACAACCACCTAATTAGTGCACACTTTTAAAAGCTCCAGCCCAATGAAATGTGTCTCACCTCTTCTACTTTGCACTGAAGCCACAGGAAAAACAAAACAGAGATAGCAAAGATGTTAGAAAAGTCCACAAGCATTTGAAAGATCTAGCATATGACATAATTGGACTTCTGTTGAATCCGACTGAACCTTTCAAATTTTAGACTCCCAAAGCTCCCTCAAAACCAGTCGAACAAAAGCCAAGCAGAAAGGATCATTGTAATCATAAAATTGTAGCTATGTCTTTAAGAAGTGATTTTAATAAATCTAATGAGCCCAACCCACCAGAAAGCAAATTCAGATGATTCATTACCACGTTCCCTTTTCTAAATGGGTTCAGAATCTATAAGAAATTCACTGCTGGGAATACTAGTTTTGATACTTACTTATTTGATTTAAAGTTTCTTGAGGAATCCAACTCATGTCAACATCGTTCTGATTGGATGTTCCCATCTCTACTTTCTGAGCTGGTCTTTTTCTCTGAAGGTATTAGAGGGTAAAATACATTATATTTTTTCTCCACAAAGGACACTGTGGCAATAGTATCAAATTAGAAGGCAATTCAAAGCTATATAAAGCAGATATTATATTAATAAGATGTTCAAAAACATGAACTATATTAGCTGGATGAAGTTCTGTATAATCTATAAATGCTTAGGTTGCCATATAACATTTGATCCCATTTCATAACTTTCCATTTGGTTAAGAAATGTGTTGCAGATGTGGTTCCAAAAGTTATGCAACTTGCCAAGAATACCACTATTTGCAGATGTCACTGAAATGAACAAGAGCGGCCGCACTGTCTCAAAAATATTACCAGTATATCACAGTTAAAAAGCTTTATTGCACTGCATACTGCATACACACTGTGGAACCTGAGACCAAAAGTCTGTTTTTCCAGTCCTCCTTCTCAAATATCTCAATGCTGATGTTACTAAATAACTTCAATCCAGACATGTGATGAGGAGAAAAGGAGTGAGTGGGTGTAAAAACACATTTATTTGTCAAAATCTTTTATGGCATGACTGTGATTACATTTATACTACATGGTTTTGTATTTAGGTAAAATAGCTTCCATCAAAAAGAACAGTATCTACATATAGGCTAATAACACAATCCTTCCTCCAAGAAGTGTAGAGTAATATACAAAAGTTTCCAGTCATTACCCTATCCATTTACGTGGTCAGACTCAGCAAGTGTTTGAGACAATAAACTACAATAATACCGACAGCATCCTAACACAAATTGAATATACAAATGACATAACTTACCTTCCTAGATTCTAACAGCTGGTGCAGACCAACAATGACAAGTAGACCAAGGCCAGCAAGGAACACATACATAAAGATGCTTACATAAGAAGAAGAAAATATTGGGTTACTTTTTTAGTAGGCAAAAGCTACAAAAGCATCCCTATATCCCAATTTAAGCAACCCAGTAAGCTAACACAAGGTCATATAAAGTCAAGTTTGTTTTGTAGAGTATTGTTAAAGATCCTCAAACAGAACAGAATAAGACTATCAACCAAAGGTGATCAAGGCACACAAAGTACTCAAAGATTTTTCTGCTGCATACTGGCACTCCAACCGATCTCCACTGCTAAAAACAACATTCATATCTCATATCTCTTCCTCTCTCACATCTGGTAAGAAAGAAAGCCAAGAACAATCCGAAATTCTTCTTAATGAAAGTGTAAGTAATGAAACTGAATGTCAAGAAAATCAAACCCTCCAAACCCCCATCCCTTGTCTTTGGTGGTGCTACCAAGCAACTGAGGTACTATTCTAAAATCAACTAACAGGGTATTTTATTAATCTTACGTTTCACCATCTAATCCATCTTCTTTTTCAATAATTGTAACAGTTTGATTGAAGACAGCATCTTGGAAGAAGTTCCCCTAAAATAAAATAGCACTACTATTAATGCACTGTGCATGCAGTATAATGCAGCTACTTATGATTTAAGAAAAAAAAAATGTTTGTGTGATCATTAGATTTTTTTATTATTTTGAAGGGAGGGTAAATATCTTTAAGAGAATTTGCACAGACAAATGTCCAACTCTAAAAAAAGTGTCTCAAGTCATTAAAAAGTATTGATAACTTTATGGAAAGGAATCAATGGGCAAATAGCACTGTGGGCTGGGGTTTCTTTGGTAGCAGTATGCATTTTTGACTACAAGACTACATTCATTTAAAAAATCTAAGGGACATAACATACAGCCTCTTTCTCTAGTCACAAATCTATCTGGAATAGTCACGATGCTACAACTTGCAGACAAAAGCTCTTCCAGAATTAAAATGGATTTGGACTAGTATAATTTGCCTCAGGGCCTGTCCAATGTAAGCACCATGGTGACAATCGGCCTTTCCTGATTCTATGTACAGAAGCTAAATGTGGAATTTGTTTCCAAAAGATACCACATTCAAAATGATAAAAGAAAAGAAAAATGAGTTACAGCTGACAGTGGATAGGATTACACTGTAATGTACAGATCAAAACTGTAAAAATGTATAAAATCACTTTGGTAGAGGGCTTGGAAAATTTCATTTTATAGCAAAAGAATGCATATCCTCAGCACGTTTTTTGATTCAGATGGATTTAGTACCTTTTGGAAACAAGCTCCACAAATGGATGGAAGCATTTAAGATGCAACTCATGTCAGGTGGCACACAACTTTGTCACTAAACAGAAAATGGATGCGTGTTTCAGAAAGAATAGTGTAGGAGTTGCCACTCCTGCCAAATAGTAAGACTTACTTGCTTATGTATAACCACAATGTTTGTCAAGTACAAAAATTTAAAAAAAAACTGTTAAAAGCTAATAAAATTGCAAACTGCCACTCACACTTTGATCTTTGTAATTCAGATTGATAACGAGTCCAAATGGCCGGCCACCCATAGGTTCCGCAGGAATGAAGGAGTATTCAAATGTAGCTTGCCTCTGTGGTGGAACAACTGTATTCAGAGGAAGAGCTGTGAAATTCTGAATGAAGAACTGGTAATCTTGAGGATACCGGAATGAAGCATCTAGAGACTCTATAATGAAATCTTCGGTACCCTTGTTAGTAAAGCCTACTAAAAACTTCACAATGTTGTTTGCTGGAAAATCTGGTGAGAAAAAATAGGGAAATGGATAAAATGCAATTCTGTATTAAACTGAAAAATTGTGTCAGAATGTAGCCATCTTTACCTTCTCCTTTCACAAACAAGATTGTTGTATCTGCACTCGGTGAGGCTTTAGGTTCTCCAGATAGGTCTTCTTCTTCTTTCTCTTCTGTCTAATACAAGAGAATGTTTTGAAAAGCCTATGATGAACAGTAAAGCAATGAATGTCTGGATGCAGTAAAGCTGTTATTGCAAATTTCTCCATCAATGCATATCCAGATGAAAAATCAATTGTCACCCAATACACTTCCAATTTCTTAAGGCTATACAGTACTAACAGTGAAGATTCCCCTGAAGATCCTTCACCCCTTGAGGAGCCGTTGAAAAGGAAATTATGATTTTTTATGAAAAGAACATCTGAACACTAGATTTCCAAAGGATAACCTCTTGCTTCCTCCAACAAAGTGCTTTCTTTCATCCATTTTATTGGTAGTGTGTCTCCTGTTTGTCTATACTAGCAATTTGGTAATATCCTATTTGCAATCCCATTTGCATCTCAAACCTCTTGAGCTCCTTATGATTTGGATACTCTTGTTTGAGCATGTTAAGTCTACATTGTTCCTCCACTTTCACGTTTCTGGTTTTGTACTTCTGCCCTGCCTCCTGAAGCTGTGGCTGCTATGTGAACACTTGCATTGGCAGCCCAGTCCTTAGGAGGTGATGAGAAGACAAGGGCTGACTATGCATGCGGCACCCGGCTCCCAGATAGGGTCGTTCATCTGACCCCCACAAAGGTGGAAGGCCAGCTGTAACAATCTAATGTTTTCTTATCCTTAGTAAGAAAGATGGAACTGACACATCAAAGAGACTATTAAAATAGTCAAGTGTTCACATTTCAAATCTTTCTGGGAAAATTCAAATGTATATAAAATTATGTTTTGCATGGTGGTTTTTTTGCTCGCTCTCTCTCCCCCACCCCCCCTCTATATATACTGCAAAACTTTTTGGATTGGAAAAACGCTGTAAAGTGTGAAAAATGTTAAAATGTGTAAACACTCTCAGACTATGTCTGTGAGGAATTTTTTTATTTTAAAAACATTCTTGCATCCTTACTCTTGACAAAAGATATCTGCTGCAAAAGGTAATAAAGATGAAAATTATTAGTTTTTCAAACAGAACAAAAAAAATCTTTGCAACTGTACCAATTCTGTGGGTTCATCTTCTTCAACTTCAGCTTCATCATCTTCATCTTCAACTACAGTATCTTCCATTGCTTCCTCATCTTCTGTAGCATCTTGAGCAGCCACAAGCAAGCCAGAGCCTAGATTAATAATGGAAAAAAAGTATTTGATGAAATGGCACTGGCAAAGTTAAAGTTCTTAGTTTGAGATTTGCCTACAAAATCTTAAGATCAAGTCCCATAAACTGATTTAGATCGGGGGAAGGCAAACTTGCTGAGGGAACAGGATTTCTGCCAAGGATGTTTTTTCCTTTGATCCCTCTAAACTCCCTGGACTGTCCTTTATCTACCTAATAAGAAAAGGTGAGTTGTTTCTAGAAGTGGTCTCCAGGAGTGTCAATTCACCTTTTAAATAGCTTCCAGAAGCCCTTCCATTTTTTAACATTTAAGGTCAGTCATTTTAAACTGCTGACTACTTTTATTTGGAGGGCGGTGGTGATAGTCTTAGAGCAGTGATTCTCAACTTGTGGGTCCCCAGGTGTTTTGGCCTACAACTCCCAGAAATCCCAACCAGTTTACCAGCTGTTAGGATTTTTGGGAGTTGAAGGCCAAAACATCTGGGGACCCACAGGTTGAGAAGCACTCTCTTAGAGGATTTTAGGCTAAGAACTGGCTCACACACTCACTTGAGTTGCCCACCTTCGATTTAAAAAGACATGAATATACAAATAACTAATACACTAGGCACTATCAATGACTTCTCTCCTAGAATTAGGAGAACTTCAAAACAAGCATTTAAAAAGAAGCACTTATTTTATACAGCGCTCAGGGTTAAACCTCTGCTAATGTTTAACTATGGTTATATAGTATCTACTATTATGCCAGGTACAATACAAATCATTTTAAAAAATCTTTGGGCAGCCTTGAGTATGACTTGATAAAAATGGACATATAGTTATAACTCAACAAATTCATAAGCAATAAAATTAGCATAGTACTATTTAAGAACCAGCCAAATAACAATATCAACAAATACAGGATCATAGCATCTTTTATATGTTCCAAAACATGCATGTCCAGGAATTCATGAGAAACAGGCACCAAGTACCTTAGTGCCTGTTTCTCATGAAGAAACTATTGAATTGAGGGAAGAGACTTGTGTCACCATTCCTGGGAAAGGATGAGATTTCTTTCGGAAGGCCATGTCTATCACAACCTCAAGGTACTTTTTTCCTTTGTTCTGTGACAGACAGAGAAGAGAGATGGTAGACTCTCTTCCTTATTATGACCAGGTATGGAAAGAATCTCAAGGATCAACAAGATTTAGGGCAGAGGCAGCAGCATGGTTGATGAGTACAAGACAGAGGCAGAAGGAGGGAAAGTTAATGGAAGAGAGCAGCTGCAACAGGAGAGGGATGGAAGGCAAGGGTAAAGAAAAGTGAAGGTGCATGTTAGGATGATGATGAATCTTCTATAAAGTTATCACACCAATTGAAATACTGAAGAAATAACTAGCAAAATATATAATGCTGTTTCTTAAGCTATCCTCCCATCCATGTGCCAGGGATCAGCACTTTATTAGGGCCTATTAACTGAAGCTCTATGATGCTACAGCGTATCTACACTGCAACAGCAATGTAATTCTGTTAAATGATGTGCCCATTTGTTTCATTACAACCACACCAAACAATCAGAGCACAAAAACCTTTGGATAGAACTATCTGACAAACTGGTGCATAACTATGCATGAAAAATAAGCAATAAGAGATTTTAGGTTATATCATGCCAATAAAAGTCAGAAGAAATGTGTTATGGTGAACAACTCAAACTAGATTTCCCATCCTGCTAACGTTTTACTTGTGAATCTTCTTTAGTTCATTAACCAACCACAACTCAAAACACAAATGACTTAAAGACTTAAGATCAACATCTTGGTTCAATTTAGGTATTCATTAAGCATGCGTTAAAACAGATGTGTCATATTAAAATTAAACATTATGAAGATAAAATATGAACCTATATGGAAGAAGAGTTGCAAAGTCTTCCCTTTATTTCACTAAATGTCTTCAGTCATTTAAATAATTTGAAATACTTTCATGGAAGACTTCTTAATAATTTGCTTTGAAAGCAACCATAGCTGAAGTACTCAAATGCACTAAACCACTCAAACTTTTTCAAGTAATAGCATGTTTTCCTACTTCCATGCTCTCTCCTATATATTTCAGAAGGCATGATGATGTGGCATTCTAGTGGGGGGAGTAGATTCAACATCTGTTAGGCAGCCAGATACAGACCCAAGAATAAAAGTGTTATACTCCAGTCCTATTGAATGAATTATCATTGAAGTGACGGTACTATACTGTAAATATAAACTAGATTTAAACTGTGAAACTGTGCAACAGTCCATCATGATACCCTGCTGACCAAAGCAATTCAACAGCAAGGAGCACCTACTACTCAATGAACTGCTGCTGCACATGCATAACTGTAATGACTTTTAATGGAATGTGTCCAATAATATAACTCTCCCAATAAAGTGAGTGTTGTGAATTGTTAATATTTTCACAAATTAAGATGATGCTATCTACAAACTGGTAAGCATTAAATTATAAATATATTATCTATAACTTAATATGTCATGCCATTAAGATAACATATTATCAAAAGAATGGATGCAATCAGAAGTGTCTTTAAATGGGATTAACAGACAACACATTGACAAAAGTTTAATTAATATAAAGTTAAAGCTGAAAACATGCCCCACTAGAAAAGGCAATGATCCTCGGTGGGCTGCTGCCTCTGCCCCATCAAACAAAAAGTGGGTACTAGAAACAATATCATACGAAAGCTGACTGGCACAAACTGGGGATCACAACCAGATACAGTGAAGACATCTGCCCTTGCGCTATGCTACTCTGCTGCTGAGTACGCATGCCCAGTGTGGAACACATCTCACCACACTAAAACAGTGGATGTGGCTCTTAATGAGACATGCCGCATTATCACAGGGTGTCTGCGCCCTACACCACTGGAGAAATTACACTGCTTAGCCGGTATTGCACCACCTGGCATCCGCCGGGAAGTAGCAGCGAATAGTGAAAGGACCAAGGCAGAGACATCTCCAGCCCATCCCTTGTTTGGGTATCATCCAGCATGTCAACGACTTAAATCAAGAAATAGTTTTCTTAGAACCACAGAGACACTTGCTGGAACACCTCAGCAAGCGAGAGTTCAAAAGTGGCAGGCTCAAACCCAGCACCTCAATCCGTGGGTGATACCAGATGAGAGACTCCCCCCTGGGCACACAGAAGACTGGGCGACTTGGAAGGCGCTGAACAGACTGCGCTTTGGCACCACGAGATGCAGAGCCAATCTTAAGAAATGGGGCTACAACGTTGAATCCACGACATGCGAGTGTGGAGAGGAGCAAACCACTGACCACCTGCTGCAATGCAACCTGAGCCCTGCCACATGCACGATGGAGGACCTTCTTGCGGCAACACCAGAGGCACTCCAAGTGGCCAGATACTGGTCAAAGGACATTTAATCAGCTACCAAGTTTGCAAAATTTGTGTGGGTTTTTTTTTTGTTTTTTTGACCTGTTTGCTTGTTTTGTTCTGTTAGAAATGTAATACAATGTTCTGGTTGCGGATAACACGATAAATAAAAATAAAGCTGAAAAAAAAACAACACTTCTCTGAGGGACTGAATTCTCTAGGAGATCATTTGACAGTGGCAAATAATGGGTGCAACCAAAATCAGTTTTAGGCAGAGTAAGAATAAAATGTGCCACAGCCATTTCTTTTTCTGCAACCACATTTCTCTCTCTCCTCCCCACTGCCCCTTACCCTTCCCAATGTCCAGCAGACTCCCAAAAGGATAAATTGTAAGAGAGAAGTCTGGGACAGTAACTAGCAGAAGGCTTCTGAAATCAAGCCAACACCAACTTGCAATTAAGTTCTGGTTCATAAGAGGCACTAGATCTACATAGAGCCCACAACTACTGTACAACAATGACCAGCAGGACAAAAGATTATTAATTTTACAAAGACACTACTGGAATCTGAACTAGTGAAAATAAGGAAAAATCATAACCCTGTGATAAATAGGTTAGTTAAACTGTTATTCCAGTGTGTCAGGCACAGAAAACAAATTCTATGAAAGGAATCTGGTAACAGAACTAAATGTGACAGCATCTCCAAACAAATCAATGCTGGAGCCACGTCCAAGTCACTCTATCTTAACAGTTCTGCTCAGGTCTTGCAGACATGGGGCTGTGGCTTTCTTGATTGAATCTGTCCATCTAGATTGCGATCTTTTTCTATTGCCTCCACTTTCCCGAGGATCATTGCCTTTTCTAGTGGGGCATGTTTTCATGATATGTCCAAAACACAAAAGCTTCAATTTAGTGATCTTTCCTCTGAGGGAGACTTTGTGCTTGATTTGCTCTAGGAACCTTTTATTTGTCTTTTTAGCAGTTCACAGTAACCTAAGGAAACTTTTTCATCGCATCTCACTGTCCAACTTTCTTAAGCATACAGTGAAATGGGAAACATGATGGCATGGGCCATCCTAACTTTGGTATTCAATTATGTATTTTTACACTCTAGGATTTTGGCTAGTTTCTTCATAGCCGCCCTTGGCTAATACCTGGATGGAGGATCATCAATGAATGCTATAAACTATATCCATGGAATGGCTATAATTCAATGAATGAAATTATGTTTGTGTCAGTATAAACTGCTATAGCATCTTTGAGAGTGATTAAGAAATCTGTAGCATAAGCTTTCATGGACACTGGCCCATTTTATTAAATTAAGTACATTTAATGATGGTGATGATAAATGTCCACAAAACCTTCTGCTTGGAACTACTCTTCGAGATACTACAGGACACCCAAACTGTTGAAAGAATCCAATACTTTTTTTTCTTTACAAAGTACTTCTGAATGCAAACAGTGCCACATCAACATATGGTTTTGAAATGCGTCTTCCTATGCAATTACAAAATGGATTTATCATGAGAAGGGAAATTAAATGGATTTGTTTTTAAACAACTACTCACATATAGCATGGATAGTAGTCACAAATAATGGTGGTTTTTTTACCCATGTGCTGCAGGCATGTGTGTACTGGAAAAATGGGGGAAAATTAGACATACTATTGCATTGAGAGATATAATAGGAAGAAGAAAATTTACAAGAACGTAAGCACTAATTTTGGCAGCACTAATGGAAAATGATAAATGAATTCTCACAATATATTAGATAAGAATATCTATGCTAAATATTTGTGTAACAAAATATTGTGAATTTTATGAACTGGCCTTTTAAGTAGAGTTAACTCCACTTCTCTTGCAGCAGCAAGTTCTTCGTCTGTGCAATCTAAAGGAAATGTTGATTGGAATTCCAGTATGTGTTTAAAACATGCAATGTGCACCTAAACATGCCTTACTGTACCTGTACACACACACACATATACATGTGACTTGGTAAGCAAGTACACTACTTGCTTAGACAGCTCATTGAAGGAAATCTGTTCCTGAAACTTTGTCAACACTGAACTATATTTATGAAAATCAAATTGACAAGTCAAAAGAAAGAACAGAAAACTAATCACAACTGCATGGACACCCCTTCTTTAAATGATGGGGAGGGGGAAGCATTCCTTTGCTCTGTAGTAATCCAGATGTGGCAAAGAAATTGCTTGCAAATTGTAAGAGAAGGCAGAAGCAATTTGACAGCACTCCCAGGATATCACTGCATTTGCCAAGCATATGCATGAAGGACTAAATTCACAGCAACTGAAGGATACAACAAGCATATGCAATGGAAACTCAAACATGAAGAATAATTTGGGCCAGTTCTATTAGCACTAGTGAGAGAAGATGCAAACATACTCCTATCCTTCATTAAATGTATTTAGACCAAATAGATAAATTATGTAGATTAACGCATCTTTTGATATCTATAGTACTTCCATTAATATATAGCCACTGGTTCACATATCTGACAGAAACTAGCTCCAGCTAATCCTTTGTAAAGACTTCACAACTACTATAACAATACAAACATTACAAACCATTGTTTTGAATTTCTTCTCCACCAAGTTTATGGGCGGGACTCCATAAATCTGACACCAATGTGTTAGCTGTTACCATTTCAACCACTTTTTTTAAAAGAAAGTTTTAGATGGCTGTTCCCCTGCTTCACAAACATTTATGAGTGATTGAAAGATAAAGCTGTGCATGATCATATACAGTCACCTTATGAGTGACTGTATATGATTTGGGGAGCAGGGAAGTAATCACAGCAACTCCGGCCTCTTGGGCAACACACCAGTTGAGTCAATATGCAGAGTAGGGATTTCAGATCTTGGCTCAAGTTCCTCTAAAGGGACAAAAAAACCCTGCAACCCAATCTGTTAATGAACATGTATTTTTCCGTTCCTGGAGGAATTGGAAATACATAAGATGTCCCCAAAAGGTGTTGACACTCTTTAATAGCTAATAGCAACTACAGTGATTCCTCAAAGGCTATACAATTATGAGAACAATGATTTAATCACAGCTACACATTCCATCTGAAATTGCCATTTGATGTTAGGTGTGCAAATTATTGTCCCTCTGCGGTAGGCATGGGCAAACTTTGGCCCTCCAGGTGTTTTGGACTCCAACTCCCACAGTTCCTAACAGCCTCCGGCCCTTTCCTCCCCCCCCCCCAGCCACTTCAGTGGCTGAGGGGGAAAAGGAAGGGGCTGAGGCTGTTAGGAATTGTGGGAGTTGGAGTCCAAAACACCTGGAGGGCCAAAGTTTGTCCAGGCCTGCTCTGCAGCAATGCATCACTTGCCTTGTCTAAGCAATGTCACAAACCTCCCTTGAAAGTTTCTTGTAATTTTGCAACTTTTCTACAACTGGAACGTCTAATTATTAGAGTGCAGCCAGTCCTCTGTATCCACAGAATCTGTGTCTGTATTCAACTACCCACGGTTTCAAAATATTTAAGAATACAGTAGTTCCAAAGAGTAAACTTTGATGTTGCCATTTTATTTAAGGGACACAATTTTACTACACCAATGTCACTTAAAGCTCCATGGATTCCGGTATCTGGGAGAGTAGGATACTAAGGACATATCGAATAACACACACACACTAGCCGTCCCCTGCCACGCGCTGCTGTGGTCCAGCCTGTGTATATTATTATTATTATTATAACTTTATTTGTACCCCGCTAGCATCTCCCGAAGGATTCGATGCGGCTTACACAGGCTGAAGCCCCAAAACACAATACAACAATACAATACCTAAAGCAAATTAAAAACAGTTAAGCAGAGAACAATAACAGTAACAATACAACAAGACACTATTAAAACTGGGCCGGCCAGGGTAGTGGGTACAAGATTAAAAGTGCTGATGTGGCGGGAGGAATGTAGGATTGTAAAATAAATTCAGTGTGCAGTGATCTTGGTTCTACTAAAGTGCTTCTAGGACTTGGTATTGGGGGTTCCTAATCTGAAAAGGATTAGTGTTTTTATGAGTGACTAGCTGTCCCCTGCCATGCGTTGCTGTGGCCCAGTCTGTGCATATGTGTTTTGTGTGTGTATATATGTGTGTGTTATATTTTTGCATATGTGTATATATGTGGTTTTGCGCATGTGTTATAGTGTAATTTTTTTTGGCTTTTTAAGTCTCTTCCGTTGTGTTTTTGGTGTTTTTATGAGTGATGGTCATTTGTTGGCCTGAGAGGTGTCCAAATTTGGTGTCAATTTGCCCAGTGGTTTCTGAGTTATGTTAATCCTACAAACGAACATTACATTTTTATTTATATAGATAGATGTAGAAGATAGATGTATACACAATATTTGTATTAAAAACTGCATTTGCACAGAATTATATGATGCTAAGAGTGCATCAATGTTGTGGGGCACACCGTGTAAACAAATGGGGCGACAGAAGTCACCATGTGCATAGCAGGAGAGGGAGGCCCCGAGATCTGAACTGACACGTCAGACGTGAGGGAAATCCCGGGTGTCTCTGTCTGCCACGGCCTCCCCCCGCCCTTCGCTGGAGGTTGAGAGAAAGGCAATGCAGAGTGAGAGAAAGGCCCTCACGCGCTGTCCCCGATTCAAAATATAACCCCCCTCCTGCTAACGGCCGCCTCACAACCGCTGTCTCGCGGCAAGGCACGCGCCGCAGAGCTCAAAGCGCACGCGCCCATCCCTCTGCGTTCTGCTCTTGTTCCTCTCCTCCTCTCTCTCTCTCTCTCTCTCTCTCTCTCTTTCTCTGGCTCTCACCTGGGCCGCTTCCAGCGCCGCCAAGGAGCAAGGCGGCCGGGAAAGCCAGCAGCACGAGCAGCAGTAGTTGGGGCAAGGACCTCCTCATGGTGGCGGGGCAACGACGCGGCCTCGGCGGCAGTTAACGCCTTTCCCCTGCCGCTGCGCAATGGCGAGAGGCCCCCATCCGGTCGACGTCCCGCCTCCTTCACCCCGCGGCGCCTTGACGTCACCCCCGCGCGCCCCGACACGCAGGCCCGCCTGGCCACGCCCCCTTCAGCCGACCGAACAGCAGACGTGGCTTCCCTTGGAAGGAGGGCAGGCGGAGTCACGTGACGCCGAGGGACGCCTCCCGGGCTCCCTTCCCGGAGCTAGTGCGCATGCGCCTTCCCACTCGTCCTTCTTACCCTTCCCAGGTTGACACCTGAAGGCTGTCCGCAGAGCGCATGCGTGGAAGTCTGCACAGATGGTGGTGTGGCGCTTCCTTTTCTTGTATGACTCACAACGTATGTGGTGCTTTCCTTCCTCGTAGAACAGGGTTGTATACTCTTACCCAACCTATTCAACTTGTATGCAGAACACATCAGGCGATGTGCGGGGCTTGATGAATGCAAGACTGGGGTTAAAATTGCTGGAATAAATGTTAACAACCTTAGATATGCAGATGACACCACTTTGATGGCTGAAAGTGAGGAGGAACTGAGGTGTCGCACCTCAGGATAGATCCACCTTATTCAGAACACCACACACACCAAGGTTGTAGGTTTTGTAGTTTATTAAAGAAAAGGCAAAATCTTAAACACAAAAGTAAAGTTGTAAAAGTATTGTCAAAGGCTTCCATGGCCGGGATCACTGGGTTGTTGTAGGTTTTTCCGGGCTATATGGCCATGTTCTGGAGGCAATTTTTCTCCTGACGTTTTGCCTGCATCTATGGCAAGCATCCTCAGAGGTAGTGAGGTCTGTTGGAAGTAGGAAAAATGGGTTTATATATCTGTGGAATGATGACCAGGGTAATGTTTCAGCTGATCACCTTGATTTGCATTCAATGGCCTGGAAGCGCCTGGGGGAATCTCTTGTTGAGAGTGATTTTATGTGCCTGTTTGTTTCCCCTCTGTTGTTTTGCTGTTGTAATTTTTGAGTTTTTTAATACTGGTAGCCAGATTTTGTTCATTTTCATGTTTCTCCTTTCTGTTGAAATTGTCCACATGCTTGTGGATTTCAATGGCTTCTCTGTGTAGTCTGACATGGTGGTTGTGAGAGTGGTCCAGCACTTCTGTGTTCTCAATATGCTGTGTCCAGGTTGGTTCATCAGGTGCTCTGCTCTGGCTGATTTCTCTGGTTGGAGTAGTTTGCAGAGCCTTTCATGTTCCTTGATGCGTGTCTGGGCGCTGCGTTTGGTGGTCCCTATGTAGACTTGTCCACAGCTGCATGGTACACGGTAGACTCCTGCAGAGGTGAGAGGATCCCTCTTGTCCTTTGCTGAACGTAGCATTTGTTGGATTTTCTTGGTGGGTCTGTAAGTGGTTTGTATGTTGTGTTTCCTCATCAGTTTCCCTATGCGGTCAGTGGTTCCCTTGATGTATGGCAAGAACACTTTTCCTCTGGGTGGATCTTCATCTTTACTCTCGTGGCTTGTTCTTGGTCTTGCAGCTCTTCTGATGTCTGAGGTGGAGTATCCATTGGCCTGTAGAGCTCAGTTTTGGTTCAGTTCATCTTGGAGAAGATGGGGTTCGCAGATTCTTTTTGCACAGTCTGCCAAGGCTTTAATTGTGCTTCTTTTTTGACTTGGGTAATGGTTGGAGTATGTTTCATACTCTTACGACATTAAAGAACACTGGACCAAGATGATACATCAATGGTACTTAATACCAACCAAACTAGCAACATTCTCAAAACACATGTGCAACAAATGTTGGAAGTGTGGAGAGGAAGAAGGAACTTTTCAACATTTGTGGTGGTCCTGCAAGAAGATAAGACCCTTTTGGAAAATAATTCAAGACAGATGTCAAAAAATACTAAAGAAGAACGTGCCCCTAAAACCGGAATGCTTCTTGCTTGGCTTAACGGATAAGACATGGGACAAAGAAACAGACAAAATATTCGTGTACTTAATCACAGCTGCCTGCATACTACTAGCTAAAGTTTGGAGACAAAAAACCATTCCGACGGAGGAAGACTGGATAGAAAAGATAATAGATATAATAAACATGGACCACTTAACATACATTCTATCAACCGCTCGTAGTATGCCTGTGTCACCAACAAACTGGTCTCCTGTTAAGACATGGCTTAGGGAAAGGAAGATAGTGCTACACATATGTTAACAACAAATAGTATGAGGTTAGGAATGTCTTAGAAAAACAAATAGTAAAAAAAAAGCAAGCAGGATAAGAGTGAGCTAGAGATGAGATAAATAAAAAGGAAACCAAAGAGAGATACCTGGGGATAAAATAGAATACTTTCCTATATGCGGGAACAAATTTGAGTATACTATTATGTAAGGAAAGATAGCATGCAAATAGACAGCACAATATGTAATAGAATGAAAAAATTAAACAAGAAGAATATAGAACCGTCTGAACCAATTGATGAAACACCATAATAGAGAGAGGAGGAGGCCTGAGGTCAATACGGACCCCTCTTTTAGCTTTTAGATATACATTGTTGCGTAAGTCGTAGGTGTGTTTGCTGTTAGTCTAGAGAGGATGGATGTCTGGATGTACTTGTTTGTAGTTTTTCTATGTTCTACTTTGTATTATTGTATTAATAAAATTCAATAAAAAATAAAATAAAAATTAAAAAAAGAGTGGTCCAGCATTTGTGTTCTCAAATAATATGCTGTGTCCAGGTTGGTTCATCAGGTGCTCTGCTGTGGCTGACTTCTCTGAGTTAGTCTGCAATGCCTTTCCTGTTCCTTGATTCGTGTTTGGCCAATGCTGCTTTTGGTGGTCCCTACGCAGACTTGTCCACAGCTGCATGGTATACTGTAGACTCCTGCAAAGGTGAGAGGATCCCTCTTGTCCTTTGCTGAACGTAGCATTTGTTGGCGAGAGTGCTTCTAGAACATGGCCGTACAGCCCAAAAAACCTACAACCCCGTGGTTCTGGCCATGAAAGCCTTCGACAATACATCCCAGTATCTGATCCCAGGTTGTCCGTTTATCCCAGATTGTATGTCAGTGCGGACTCATATAATTCAGTTTAAAGCAGAACACCTGGGATCAGATCCTGGGATATAGGGCCTGTCTGGAAGGGTCCTCTATGAGACAGTGCAACATTTGCTATGGTTCTCCAAGTACTGAGAATTTGGAGATGAAAAGTACTAGTAGAATACTTAAATTACTCACTAATACATCCCAGGATTTGGCAGGAGGAAGCCATGATAATTATAATGGTATCAAATGCATTGTGTTGGTTCCAAGGCTACCCATCTTGTATGATAGTCCTTTGACTTTTTACATTTTCAGTACCCACTCAAAATCAGCATCATAAATGCAGGGAAGTACAGATTTATACTTAATTGCCTTTCCTACAGAACAATCTTATGAAATACACTATTACAAGTCTGGAGTAAGCTGAACTATATTATTTATTTATTTATTTATTTATTGTGTAAGAAGCGAATTGAGGATAGAGTTATAATGTATAAAAAACCATAAAGTTAAAAAACAACAAAGTTAAAGCCACAAACTGAGTTTAAAAAACATCACTTGGCATTATACTAAATTTCATTTGACCAGAAACTGGCCACTTCAAGTAATAATAATAATGAATTTATTGCCCACCTCTCTCTGTGATTCAAGGCAGGATAATGTGAGATAAAACACTATTACAAAATATACAAGATACACAAGAGTTAAAATATAAATTAAACTCTACGGTAGTTTCATTATCCAGGTGGAGGCCACAAGGGGGTGCTAGAGAGAAGACAGGCTATTTTACAGGAGGAGGGGGGTTGAAGGACATAAATCATTTCCCCTGTTTTCCTGTTATTCTCCCACCTGTGTCCTAGCTGCATTTATGAAATTGGAAGAGGGGGTGGGGTGGGGGAAAATCAGAAAAACGAGAGAAAATTGTTTTCTCCCCCACCCAAACCTGGCCCATAAAATGAAATTGCCTTCTCTGACTAGGTCCCCTTTTGGAGTCCACCCAGATAATGGAACAGTACCAAATCCACGAATGAAATGCAGATTGTATTAATAAAACTAATAATAATAATAAATGTAAATTTATAACATTTTTGGCCATTTGTTCTGCATTTTTAAAAAGTATTATACCCCAGTATTACTTTCTTCACCATCCACACTGGCTCATTTTAAATGAATGGCATTGAATTACTGTGATATCAGTACAGTGTTATGAATTCTAGTAAATCAAGTGGAGTAGAGGCTTGTCTTTCAAAATGAAAACAATATAGTCCTGAAGAGTGCACATCCCTACTTAAAAATAAGTTCAGTTCAGTTCAATGACTTACCACGGCAATGCTGAAATCTACAATTTCAACATTTGGTCTTTTTTCAGTCCTGGCAATTAAAAAAAACCCACAGCCAACACAATACAGAATGCATTTTGTTTATTTTACACACAATTCACAGAGTATAGCACTATCTTGCCAACCTCTTAGAAAACCGCTGCTCCTTAATTACATGTACGTGCCATTTATCTGTAATTTATACAATTTTACCAGACCAGAAACAGCATATTAGACTCAAGTTAACAAACAGCTGTAGGAATACAACCCAAATAAGTACCATCTTTGACCTCAATTTAATGTTTGAGAATTGTATGGATGGAAGCAAAAAGATGGGAGTTATTGATACTGCAGATCCTCAGTCTTTCTCATTTAAATCAAATGCGTATTCCAACAAAATATGTTGATATAGAAGGAGGAGCAAAAATAGTGGAACTGACACAGAACTCTCTTAAGTCTAACCTGCCAGTGTCGCAGTGAAATGGAAAACAAGCATTGTATTTCCCAAAAACCCCTCTTTAATATGGATAGGCCACCTTCTTTGAGATGGTCTATTCATATTAATCTCAATAAAATAGGGTCTCCGGTCACATGGGTGGTACCTACAAGTATGCAAGTAAACCAAAAAGAAGTTCCCTTGCACAGGGAATTTGAATAGTACTTCAAATTCGTGGACGGTTTAACTCAAGACAGTTCATTTCACATCCTCATGTACATATGTAAATCTGCATGTTTGTATTCCCACATTAAACATTGTTAGAAATTTGGCATCACTGAGGATGCTCACTCTACTAAAATGTATGATATACACAACTGTACATTTTTCTCTGGTCTTCCAAATGCCCATTTCTTTTTATTTCTCCAAAGAATACATCCTTGTAGTCTGTATACACAGGTATGAAAAACACATCAGTCACGCTTTCCCACTGGTAAAAGAGTGAGCTTTGCCACAAAGTTCCTTCAATAGCCACCAAGATAATACATGGTTTGTGCGTGTGTGGAGTACTTTGCAACCAAAATATGCATCCATCCAGTCAGGAATGGCTAATGTTGCATCTTGACAAACATAATTTATTTGCCCTTTTTCAACTTTGCAGTCTTCTCTTTTCGCTTCTTCACATGCTTTGGAGTCTTGTGTTTTCTCTTCTCCCTCTGAGCCTCTTTGGTCATCTTCTTTCTTTCCTGAAAGAGGGATACATGTAAGTATTTGCCCAATGTGTTGAACTGAATAGAGTGGTATCAGAATAACATCATGGAATAGCAAGATGGGCAATGACAACATGTAATATTTTATCTACTGAATGCGATTAGTGCACATATCACTTTGCAGCAGCCAGCCAATGTAGTGAACTAATTAGAATACTGACCTGAGCCAGGAAAATAGAAGTAAGATTTTAGTTGCCCCAGAACCAAGAAACTCACTGTGTGACCATTTCCCAGCCATTCTCAATTGACCTACTTTACAGGACTGTTGTAAGTATAAAATGAGGTAGATAGCCATATATGCCCTACCCATACATACTAAGCAGTATAACACTCATATTTGCTGGGGATACATTCTAGGACTTCACATGGATAAACAAAACTGTGGGTAATTGCAAACCCTACTTTAAAAAAAACATCTGGAGGAACATACCACAGAGTATGTTGGAGGACTTGGTAAATTTCTAAAGAGGATACTTCTCTAGCTATTGCTAAGTCCTCCAGTGCGACTCTATGGTCAATTTTCAATGGAAGCATACCATGAAATCATCGGAAGGATCTAGAAAATACCCAGGGAGGACAAATTTTGCCAGATGCAGGTAAATGAAACTCTGGGTATTGGTTCCCACAGATAAGGGGATCATACTGTACAGGCTATAAAGTGACAAATAGATATATAGAACAAGTAAACCAAGTGTCACCCAGATATTGTACAATACAGTCCTCATAATCCCTTATTACTGTGGTCGGAGCTTACAGGAGCTGTAATTAAAGCATCCAGAGGCCACAAGGTTGCCTATTCCTAGTAGAGAGGAAGACGAAATGACTGCTTCAAGTGCACATGTATTAATTTGACCGATTATTTAACTGTGGCAGTGGCCTCTCCCCCTAATAAAGTGAGCTGGTGAGTAAGTCCCAGATTAGCATCAGTTTAGCCACAAACTCACTGGACATCTTTATCTAGATGTTTACCCTTTAACCAGGGATTAAAAGAGGAGAGGAGTTAAGGCACAGCATGTACAAAAAGAGTCTGCCATTATGAACCTCAAAAATCTATTGCTTACTCAAATAATACCCATTGAACAAATAAATTAAAATTCAATGTCGATTGTTTATTCAATGCAGACAGCAACTATCTTAAGTTTCAATCTGGTCTGATAAACACTGATGCAGGTTCACGGGTTCACCAGGTCTTAAAATTCCAATTTAAACACTGAAGATTAATGCATTAGACCCTTCTGCCAATCTTTGAGGAATAATAACAACACAGATGCACATTATTCAGGCTTTTCCTTCTGATTGTGAGCTGGAAATTCCAACAATTTTAACAGAATCACAAGACTTAAATGAAAAACCTGTATCTGCTATTCTAGGCACAAGATGTACTAAACTCACTAAACTCAGATATGTCATCCTGCTCATCTGACTTTGGGTACATAAAAAGTAAGATGCATGCATGATGTAGTTACACTGCACAACAGCATTACATACAGCATGCCTGATAACGCTCTAGCTTCCAATTTCCTTGTTTTGTAAACAAACATAATATCTTATTAACTCTGCTCTTAAACTGGAGGTTTAAAGAATAAAACCGACTCATCTTAAGAGTAACTTATAATATTGTGAGCATTGCTAAGACAATCTAGACTAAATATATATTTACAGAAATGTAGGATGCTGCCTTATATCAAGTCAGACAGCTAGTCCATGTAGTTCAGTGCTTCTCAAGCTTTGGTTATTCAGATTTTTGTAAGATGAATTCCTAGATGCCCCAGTCAGTTTGGCCAACTGACAGAAATTTAGCTGAGGTTCAAAATGCCTGGAGGACCAAAGATTGTGAACTACTGCTCTAGCTGCATACTAACTGGCAGCAGCTCTTCAGAGTTTTAAACATAGATCTTTTCCAACATGCCCTGGAGATACCAGGGATTCAGCCTGGGGCCTTCTGCATGTAAAGCATGCTCTCTGCCAACTGAGTTGAACTGACCCACTAACCTTTTTATCCACATCAGGTTCACGAGGTTGGTCTTTAGGATGCACTGATGCTTCCTGTCCTTTGCAATCAGATTCAGAGTTGGCAGAACTGTCATTGTCATCCTCAGAATCAGACTCTGCCTCACCTTTATTTTCAAGAAGAGCAGGCACCTAGGGCAGACCAGGGAAGGTTGTTGTTCAACATTCAGAAGTCAAAGAATTAAAGAAAATTTTCTAAACAAAATAAAACCCACCTAATTTGCTTTGTATTCTGTACCTCTCGGACAGAGGTGAGAAATGTGCAAGCTATATTTTACACATATTAATTGTCTATTTTAAAAAAATAGCAATGCTACCTTATCACTATTACAGAAAATTTCCCACTTTGTTAAAAAAACCACTTCCTTTGAGTCCTCCCCCCCCCCCCCCCCCAACCACAACATGCTGCAAAAATATAGCATAAACAAAATCCCAAATGACTAAATCAGGGGTCCTCAAACTAAGGCCTGCGGGCCGTATCCGGCCCTCCAAGGTCATTTACCCGGCCCTCACTCAGGGTCAACCTAAGTCTGAAACAGCTTGAAAGCACACAACAACAACAATCCTATCTCATCAGCCAAACGCAGCCCCACACTTCCCACTGAAATACTAATAAGTTTATATTTGCTAAAATTGTTCTTCGTTTTAATAATTGTATTGTTTTTGCACTACAAATAAGATATGTGCAGTGTGCATGGGAATTCATTCATGCTTTTTTCAAATTATAATCTGGCTCTCCAACCGTTTGAGGGACTGTGACCTGGCCCTCTGTTTAAAAACTTTGAGAACCCCTGGACTAAACTTATTGACAAAACAATCTAAAAGTTATCAGCATTATACCTTCTGAACACCAGATAAATCCTTCTTTAACCCTGTCACCGTTTGATAGAGAATCTGTGGGGGGAAAGAATAAAACAAAAAAGCAGTTTCATAGCAGCTTTCATTTCTTTGAAGTGCTTTATAATACGCATTCCTGCAGTAATCATCATCATGCAGTACAGTATTATAAATATTGATACACAGTACAGCTGTATGGTTTTCTATAGTCCAAGGTGATAATCACAAATTCCTCTAAAATTTGGACTGGAACTCCCAGAATTCCTCATCACTGGCTATGCTAGCTATGGTTACTGAGAGTTGCAGTCCAACAATGACATGATTCTCAACCCCAGGTCTAATCTAACATTAGCCCATCTGACACATTCAGGTTATTATTGTAAGACTTTAATAAAAGACTGTCTTCTTAACTGCTGTCACAATTGTAATCAATGAAATAGGTCCAGAGTAGTGTTTGGCAGAGTTCCACTTATGCTGGAGGAAGAAGATACAGGCACAACTCTGCAACCCATCCTTCCTCTTTCAGCCTTTCCCATCTCCTGATTTATTCATCTGGAGAACTGGTGTTTTCCCGTAGCAGCATGAGAGGTGAAGACAGAGAAGAAGTTGGGAAATATTTCTTCCATCCACCCTCCTGTCCTTGTAGTGCAGTGGTTCTCAACCTGTGGTCCCCAGATGTTTTGGTCTTCAACTCCCAGAAATCCTAACAACTGGTAAACTGGCTGGGATTTCTGGGGGTTATAGGCCAAAACACCTGGGGACCCACAGGTTGAGAAGCACTGTTGTAGTGGTTCTCAACCTGTGGATCCCCAGGTCTTTTGGCCTACAACTCCCAGAAATCCCAGCCAGTTTACCAACTGTTAGGATTTCTGGGGACCCACAGGTTGAGAACCACTGTTCTAGAGTCTCAGATGGATCCATCCCGATGTCTTCTAGGCCAAACTTGAAATGTTGGACAGTATCCTACAAATGAATGTTCTATCTTGAGATCAAGGTTGTGTCTGTGAGTACCTACCAATGTATATAAACTCCATTAATTTCTTAGGGATTTCTTAGGCAAAGAATATTCACAGGTGATTTGCCACTGCTCTAAAATACAACCCAAAGCAGCCATTAACTATGTAACATGATTTTTATCCCTGACTTATGTCATTTCCTAATTGGTTCTATCATAAAAACATGAAAAAAGTTAGTTGCAAAAACTTTGTTTTTGTGGGACAAATTGCAGCATATTTTGCTGTAGTTTTTCAATGAATATCTGATAGAGTCTCAACCAATTCAACATAGTTTGTGGCAGTCACAAAAACAAAGTTTCTGGAGTATAACAACTACTTTCAAAGTAAGTACCACACGATTAAACAGAAAATAACACTTTTTTCAAATTTTGTTACATAGTGTTATTTCTAGTATCCTTCCCAATACTAACAAGACCTGATTCTGCATAGTTCCTGAGATCATACAGAATCTGATGACTTCCTGGTATTTAGGCCAGTCTACTTTACATTACAAAGCCAGCGTGGTGTAGTGTTTTTCTCATTAGACTCAACTCCAGAGACCAGGGTTTGATACCCACCTCAGCCAAACTCACCAATTGATCTTGGGTGAACCACATTCTCAAAGCATCATAAAACCCTGTGACATGTTCACCTTAGGGTCATTCTAAGTTGGAAACAACTTAAAGGCACACAACAACTTACGTTATCTTGCTGCACATTTAAAGCTGTGTCTTCTTCTTTCAACTTCAACATTATCTCCACATCCCTCTCATAGTTCTTTACTTCATTCAGAGTTCTAGGGATATATGCTTTCTTGAATACCTAAAGAAACAAAACAATCATTTTATCAGTTCCCCTATACTGAAGTTGTTAAGGATCACAGACGATAACCTTCAGATACTGGGAAAACAGAATTGGACACATCGTAACATTCCATCATTATGTCTGGTTTGGTTTTTACATGTGTGCCAAACAGACAAACAAGATGTGTCTCAAAACTCCTTAATTCAACCAATTGCAACTGATTTAGTTGTTTGGTTTTTTGTCGTGTCAGGAGTGACTTGAGAAACTGCAAGTCGCTTCTGGTGTGAGAGAATTGGCCGTCTGCAAGGACGTTGCCCAGGGGACGCCCGGATGATTTGATGTTTTTATCATCCTTGTGGGAGGCTTCTCTCATGTCCCTGCATGAGGAGCTGGAGCTGATAGAGGGAGCTCATTCGCCTCTCCCCGGATTCGAACCTGCGACCTGTCAGTCTTCAGTCCTGCCGGCACAGGGGTTTAACTCACTGCGCCACTGGGGGCTCCAACTGATTTAGTGACTGATTTAGTGACAGCAGCACATATTCACAGCTGGCTTTGTCTATGATCACTTCATATATATTTCTTGTGAATGTACATTTAGGGAATCACTAGAAATTATTCAGCTATAAAATGAAACATATTTGAAAGCAGCCCTAGACTCTTAAAAGGAAACCACTTCTACAACATTACCCAATGGTCGGTAGAATTAAAAATATCAACTCTGAATCATTATCTAAAAGTGCAAGCTTCTGGAAGTTTTAAAAAAAGTTATGGTTACTCTGTCCTAAAGATTCCTTCCAATATACTTCTAAACTTCTAATATACAAGATTAAGACTGGACTAAACAAACAGTGGCAATTTTTTGAAGAATGTAAATAAAAAAGAAGAAAAGGAGAAAAAAGGATATGAACTGCAAGTGTTGCTTAATGTGTAAAGATGTGAAAATCAATAATAAACAAACACATATATGTTTATTTAATGTCTGTTGTGTATATGGCATCGAACTGTTGCCTTTGTAAGGCAACTCTGAGTCCCCTTCAGGGTTAAGAAGGGCGGGTATAATACTGTAAATAATAATAAATAATAATAAGAGTCTTTACTGAGGACTATATTCAGGTTCTTTCAAATGAGATAGAGAAAAGAAATAAATTCATGGACTTACCTCTTCATCCACATTATCTTGATTGGACCGCTCTTCCTCTGTTCTCTCCGATGATATTTCCATTGCCTGAAGGACATTATGTAAGAATTAACTCTTATGAGAACAGAAAAAAAGAGCAGGATATTTTACACGTTGTTTTGCCCCCAGAGGTTACTTCTTTTAATGAGTCCTTGATACTCCACAGATTATATAAAGGCCATCTGCTGGGATCTCTAGCTGGCCTTTCAAACAAATCCTTCACTTACAGTCCTATCCTGTTACCTACTCAGGAGTCTAAATAGCAGCAAAAACTGGCTGCTCAACAAACTGCAAGGAAATATTGCAGATGGATTGGGATGCAATATGTGGGTTGGGTGGCCCATATATTGCATTGTAGTATAGAGTTGACTAATTTGGTTTATAATTATGGCAGTAGGTGCTTTGTTTTAAATAAAATCCTACTAATGGGCTGCTACTAATAAGCAGGATCATCATAGGAGCATCCCAATTACATTGAGAAACCACTTGCACACAGCAGTTTCTTTATGGAACTGCATTCAAAGTGTGCATGCAAGCTGAAGGGTGGATCGGACAGTGAGAGATAATGTCAAGGACAGTACAAGAAGCATGGTTCTCCCTTACTTCTTTATGGTTCTGTCCTATGTGTAAGTAATACATGAACTTGGCTTGTGTTGAAATAAAAAATGAGCCTCAGTACTGAACGTCCACAGCATTCTGAGGAGCAAATGTATGTGTGTTATATCGGGTTTTTAAAGAACAATGCTGAAAGTCTTGTTAACACCTGATTCATGTTTTAAATTTACATGATGTTTTCATTACAAAGAACTCAGAATGACATAAACTCACACTTCCAACATTAAGTCTTTTCCACAGAAGCAATATCCCCAAATCGTACCTTTTCCAGATAAGCATCCATGTTCTCACTTGTAATAGATGGATCTGTAACAAACTCAAAGAGTTCTCTCACTGTCATCACAGCAACATTGTATTTTCGGAAAAAATCTGCCAAAAAAGGACAAACAAAATGACATTCAGATATTAAGACCACTTCCACAAACTCTTCCAAATTACTATAAAAGACTTGCAAACTCTTTTCTGGGAGGTATTGCAAAATACTTCTGAATATTTCAAGCACAACATACCGTATATACTCGAGTTTAAGCTGACCCGAATATAAGCCGAGGCAATTAATTTTACCACAAGAAACAAGGAAAACGTTGAAAACGTTGATAATGTTGAAGTTGAACATTAATAAAATAAAATAAATAAAATATCCTACTCACCATTGATATTGGCACAATCTTTCCGCAGGAATTCTAAAGCATGTGGGTGATCATGTTCAACAGATTGGGATACATCTATGATATATACTTCTCCACTGTGATACCTAAAAAAAGGCCACATTATGTACAAGTTGTTCTCATTGTTATCATCATCATCATAATTCCTAAACAAACTTAAATCTACAAACAGCTTTCCAGAGAACATTCTGGAACATCCTACCATTAATCTGGAGGGGCGATGGCATATTAATCTTTACTTATTTAAAACAATAAGTCGTTGCTATAAAACAAAGTGATATTGAAAAGGGGGAAGGAAAGGGGAGAAAACAAAGAAAAATGGCAGCACCTTTAAGACAAATTGGTTTTTCTTTTTGTATGAATTTGCATGGCTATAAACAATACCAGATGATACACAGTTCTAAACATGCTGCCATTTTTCCTTCCCCTTCCTTCCTTTTTTCCTTTGCTGCATGAAACTAACACAGTTACTTCTTTGAAAAATGTAATAATGAATCACACTTTAAGTCAGTTTAAAAGTGGAAGGGTTTTTTTTATGTTGATACTTGTTATTTGAAGTATTTCCTTCATTTGACTCTTTTGTGGTACTCATGTCCTGCCCAATAAGTGAAAGAAGAGACAGAGATGGAGACAGAGAAAAGAAAGAAAAGGATCATAGAATTGGAAGAGACCTCATGGGCCATCCAGTCCAACCTCTTGCCAAGAAGCAGGAAAATCACATTTAAAGCACCCCCAACAGTTGGCCATCCAGCCTCTGCTTCAAAGCCTTGAAAGAAGGAGCCTCCACCACACTCCGGGGAAGAGAGTTCCACTGCTGAACAGCGCTCAGAGTCAGGAAGTTATTCCTCATGTTTAGGAGGAATCTCCTTTCTTGTAGTTTGAAGCCATTGTTACGCGTCCTAGTCTCCAGGACAGCAGAAAACAAGCTTGCTCCCTCCTCCCTATGATTTCCTCTCACATATTTATTCATGGCCATCGTGTCTCCTCTCAGCCTTCTCTTCTGCAAGCTAAACATGCTCAGCTCTTTAAGCCACGCCTCACAGGGCTTGTTCTCCAGACCCTTGATCATTTCAGTCGCCCTCCTATGGATACCTTCCAGCTTGTCAACATCTCCCTTAAATTTCAGTGCCTAGAATTGGACACAGTATTCCAGGCGTGGTCTGACCAAGGCAGAATAGAGGGGTAACATGATTTCCCTGAATCTAGACACTATACTCCTATTTATGCAGGTCAAAATTTCATTCGCTTTTTTAGTTGCTGCATGACATTTTCAGCTCGTGTTTAACTTGTTGTCCATGAGGACTTCAAGATCTTTTTCACATGTACTGCTGTCAAGTCAGGCGCCCCCCAAGTCTGCAAGTGACTTGAAATCTATGAATAAATTAGTATAGATTTTACTTATAAAGATTTCAAATCAAGAATTAAACTGTAGGAAGGAATTTAGTGTTTTTCTAATCATCTTCTGTGTCCCCTTCTCTAGAAATATTTCAATAAACAGCAACACAAAATTTTGCAAATTCAAACTCTGTAAAACCCACAAAGATCACATCCTACCTCAAGGGCAGAACTGAACAAAAATAGAACTTTTAAACATTATATAAATTGATCATGGCTATCAATGAAGACATACAGCATATTGAATTCACTGAGATCTGCATGAACAAGCTTGGCATCTTGATACATTCTTCTCATGTACTGGATGACTTGTAGATACAACTCCCGAGCTTTTGATTCCGATAACTGGGCATTTTTCAACAAAGGAGCAGGCCTAAGATTAAAAAAAAAGAAGGGGGGACCACAGGCTAAGACATTAACACAAAACGGAATCTTACATTCTTTTCTACATAATAATTACTCTAGTTCTCGGTAGGGCAAAGGAATGTGTTAAAATGAACTTCTACCTCAGGATTCTTCAATCTGCGACCATCCAGGTGTTTATGCCTCCAACTCCTAGAAGCCGTATCCAACTCTGTCAATGGTCAGGAATTTTGGGAGCTGAAGTCCAACGCACCTGGAGGGCCACAGGTTGAAGAGGATGGTTCTATCTAACAACAACAACAACACATTATTTATAGGCCGCCCTATCTCCCTAAGGGGACTAATGCAAGTCATCATGTGGCCATATCAGCCAATCCAATAGATCAAGCTGAACGATTAAATAGCCTTCATATTTTCTGGCTGCAAACTCACAAGCTCTGCAGAGAGTGCCAAACATTTCAAGAATATGTGTTTTAACTTTCAAGAAAGCCACCTTTTATTTTAATATGTTACAACCCCAAACAGCAATGATATGAGACAAATCAAATACAGTGTTCCCTCACTTATTGCGGGGGTTCAGTTCCAGGACACCCCGCAAAAAAAGTGAAAATCCACAAAGTAGGGACGCCATATTAATTTAAATATTTATACATTATTTTATATATTATTTTCTTACCCGTGCTTCCTTACCCACCTCCTGGCCTATCCCAAGGGCGCCTGCCTGCCTCCCTGGCCTCTGCAGACCCCTGCAGAGCCTCCAGAGCCACGCAGGCAGCAGCAGGGAGGATGTAAATATTTTATATTTTTAATTAGTATTTTCAAAAACCTACAAAACTTCAAGTCAGCTAAAAGTGAACCGCGAACTAGCGAGAGAACACTGTATGCATAGTCTTGTCCTGCAATATAGTGACAGATCAGACAAGAGGGGGGGAAAATCAAAAGACCACTGACAAGATAATTCATGCCATTCATGTTTCATGATGATGGCAGAAGCACTACCACAATGATCCTTTCTCTGTCATTTGTACCAATGATATAATGGATCCCTCAATTACCCTGATAAACCAGCATTAGGCCACCCAAGTCTCCTAACAGAGAGAGATTATATCTCTCCCCTGTCAACTGTGCTCACCTTCCTTCCAAGTAAAAACATATTATTTTTCAGGATTGCTGCAGAGGTGTTTAATGTTCATCCCTCACATATTGAGGGAACTACAACTCTTGTTATCCTTCAGCTTTGGTTATTCTGGCTAAAATAGGTGGAAAATCCAATGCCAAGGGTACAATGAAATAAAGTTTCTTTGCACAGAGCTAAGAATACTTACGTGTCATTTTTGCCAATAAAACCCATAAGAAGAACATGACTTCTTAGCATAATGGGTTCTGGACATGGGATTTGTGCTGTGTGCAACCTATAAAAAAACAATGCCCAAAGTTTTGTTCTTTAGTTGATATGATATGAACACATATATCCACACATAAAAGTTTTGAGGTATTGTGACAAAAGTATCAGGTTTCCACCCTCTTTTTTAGGCCAACAATATCTGTTTAACAACAAGCATAGTAAATAATTGCTAGTATTCCCACAATAATAAATACTCAATAATGGCCCAAGATGGAAGAAAAAGAAAGCTCACCTTGTTAAATTCCTCATTTCTTTCTCTGCCCAGGTCCTGACCATTTTTCTTGGGTTTCCTTTACAGTATCCATGGCGAAACCTTGAATGCACAACAGGGAAATGGAGTCATTTGATGAAAGTATGGGTATTATATTTATGAAAAACATCAAGATGTTACTGTATTGTTACAAGCAAAAAAATAAACTAAATATTTGGACTTACCTGAATTCTCCACTCACATATTTATCCCGGTCTTTAAACATCAAAATTGATGTCTTATAAATCTTTATGGCTCTGCTCTCCCCATTTGCAGTGCTGGCATGATATACATTAGCCTAGCAAATTTCAAAACGAGAAAAAAAGAATATATTAAGACTTTATACACAGATTTTTAAAAATGAAAACTACAACAGTATTTCTAAAAGCAATCAATTTAGTACTACACAGGTCTATGCAATCAACCATTCATAATCTACCAAACCCAAGAGAGTTGGATAACCTTGTTTCTGCATGTACAGAATGTTCTCTGGATTGAGGCCTCAGCTGGATGGCAAGATGCTGAAGTGACAATTGATCACAACACCCAGACACAGAGATGGATATCATTTACACAAATCTCTCAACCACAAATTTCTAACCTAATGTCTTAAACTGTACCTACCCACTCAGTAAAAACTAGACTGGTTTCCAGTTTTATAAATATCTATTGATGAAAGGATAGTCAACTGTATTTTGAAAAATGTGAAAAACCTTAGAAATAAAACAGCTCTGCTTACATTGTCCTATACTATTATGACTAAGAAGAAAAGAAAAATATCTACACTGAAGATGCCACCTTACATGTAAATGTTCATGGATTATTCTAAAGCAATTCTCAAATATTATTTGTAGCAGCTTTAATAGATTAGTAAATATATGGACCTTGGAAGAAAAACTATAGTTCTCACTTTTAAAATAGGGCATTCTTTATCATTCAAAGTACCATCTTTGACAAGATAGTGAACTAATTTGCATATTAACCACTTTGCCAAACTAATTTGAGCTTCAGCAAGCACTGGCCACATACTATCCACATGAATCACCACAGTTTGTTTGTCATTCAAACCTGAAAAGCTAAAAGTAATCTTAGTTCAGATTACCCAATTTAGGTTCAGATGACAGGCCAAAGAATGATTGATCTAAAATGGAAGCTTAAAATTGTCTCAAGATGTAAGAAAGGTATGTGTGTAAAAATCCAAGGTTTATTATTATGAATTCTTATACTAATAAATACTAATAAATGTTAACTCTTGTGTACAAACTGTTCCATTCATGGCCTAATGAAGAGGGGATGTTTCTTCTTTTTGAAAATGTGTATAAAACTTGTACTAAAAACAAATTTATTTTTGAGCATTTGTTGTGTGATTATAATAGAGCATCTCTTGAGTTCATACACAGTTGTGTTTAACTAAAAGAATTGTTGCAGTTCTATTTACAATGAAACCCACCTCTTTGCCTGTGCTGATGCAGCCATTGATTTCCGATATAACGCCTCTAGTTAGCATCTTGAATAAGATCATTCGTGTTCTTGGGTCCAAAACCTACAAAAAGACAGAACACACACCAATAAATGTTACTTAGGGACACTACAAAACTGATTTCAAAGTCTGAAATGCAAAAAGCAGAACCTGTATCTTAATTTGGAATAACTATGCCATTTTATGGGTTGAGTTGTCCCCACACAAAATGAGAATTTTTGCACTTAACCTTTATAACATGTATGACTTACTTGTTCTACTGTTGCTCTGTCCGACTTATCTTTCACCCGATATCTGGTAGAAATAAAATGAGTCCATGACAATTAGTCAGATATGCGGTTGTGGTGGGGAGATGATATTGATATACCAATTTTTTTTGTCGTGTCAGGAGCGACCTGAGAAACTGCAAGTCACTTCTGGTGTGAGAGAATTGGCCATCTGCAAGGACGTTGCCCAGGGGACGCCCGGATGATTTGATGTTTTATCATCCTTGTGGGAGGCTTCTCTCATGTCCCCGCATGAGGAGCTGGAGCTGATAGAGGGAGCTCATCCGCCTCTCCCTGGATTCGAACCTGTGACCTGTCGGTAGTCCTGCCAGCACAGGGGTTTAACCCACTGCGCCACCGGGGACTCCCGGTGATATACCAAATAAAAATTCTGGAAATGTTGACACAGCCATTTTGAACAGAAGGAATGAAGTGAATAATCAAACATGGTATCATGCTCAAAGTCACTGATCACAGCACTGCAATTTAAACAGAGGTATAAAACTAGGCCGAGACTTCACATCCTATTCATATTTGCCTGGAATTAAGGCCTAATGAACACGCTAAGGTTTGATCAATTGGGAGGGTCTACAGCTAACTGCTACTCCCAGGTGGGGTAAAGCTACTGAATCAATAAAATTCACGTAATTCTTGATTCAGCAGTTCATTCAACAGATTTATGTAACTGGTTCTAGGAATTGTGTTGGGCGTTTGTTTAAACTTATGTTCTGAAAAGCTCTAATTATTATTATTATTATTATTATTATTATTATTATTATTATTATTATATTTCTTACCCATCTCTCCTCGTGGTTCCTGTTGGGTCATAGTCAAAATGCTCAAACATTACAAAAATTCTATAAACACACACATTAAAATGTAGCTCTATAAAAGATATACATTAAAAAGTATTTCTCTATTGTACTCTGTACTAAAACATCCAATTTATCAAAGTGTCACAGAACAATGTAAACCTTCATCAATCCAAGTAATCAACAAAAAATTCTGCAAAACATTTAAGAATGTAAATCCACGTTACTTACAAATCTGCTTCTCTTTGCCTGGATTTCTCTGTAACTCGATTTATGACAGAGTCAGCAAAATGTAGTCTGTCTGAAAAAATATGAACATATATATTAATCTGGAATTAAAATACCAATGATCCCCTTTCTTCATTTTCACTTTCTCAATTTAAAGCATAATTCAGTGGTATGGCCAGAAATAATTAAATTTCCCTCTGCCAAGAATAATCCCAGATGGGGATTATAGATATTGCATCTGAAAAACAAACACCCAACATCTTTAGCACTATATTAACCATTTAGAACAGGGGAAAGCAAAGTGTGCTTGTAGGCCGTTTTTATAGGACCCAGGCCACACTTGGGGTAATTTTCTCCCCCACTTTTGTTTTACTCCAAAATGCCTCAAAATTATCTCCAGAGCATTTCCATCTTGTTTGGAGCCATCCTCCATTCCTCTGGGGTCAAAACAATGTTTTGTAAATATATTTTTGCCTCAAAATGACCCAAAGTTAGGAGGGCCCAAGAACATAGTGATAATGGCCCATATTTGGTCTTTGATGGCCAAGAATTTGATATTTTTGTGTGTGACTGGGTGCGATGTGTGATTCTCCAAAGTTTCCTGGGGTCAAATGCAGCTCCTATTTTTCCACAGTTGCCCACCCCTACTAGACCCAACCGTCTTTTGGTTTCATATAAAACTTGGAAATGACCTACTCTGAGTAAGAAACTGGATGTCTGTCGGTAGAAGGAAAGAGGTTGGACTGTGTGGTCTCTTCTGTTTCTAAGGTTCTATGTATGATATGAACAATTTCTTCTGCTTTGGCTAAAGGGGCTTCATGGCTTATCCCCATCACCTCCATCATAACAAGCACAATGGATTACAGAGGTGGAAAAAGCACAAAGTGGCGCTGCCTTCCCTACTTGATCCCTTTAGATGTTTTGGCCTCAAAGTCCCAGGATCCTTGACCTGCTAGGCCTGATGAGAACAGTAGGCAAAAGCATCTGGAGAACATATTGGAAAAAGATTAGCTGAAGTAGGTTGGAAAGGCTCTGATGGTTCGAAACTTTGGGACTACAACTTCCAGAAGCTCCGGGCAGTAAACCAAAGGTAATTGGTCGTGAAAGTAGTGCCCCAAGAGAACCGGATTCACACCTACCAGATCTCCTGGAATGTATTAATAACATCCCAAAGGGTGCACACACAGAGATAACACACCACAGGGTACACACACAGAGAAAGTGAACTGACAAAGTATGAATTTAAAAAAGAAAATGTTGAATTAGAATTTTAATCAGTTATGTGTGGTTAATTTGGCAATATGTTCCTCTAAATTTAGAAAAACATAAAGTTGCAGAGAAAAACACAATTGGGCAATTCCCACTGAAAGGAAACAGAAAGAAAGGAAGAGACCTCGTGGGCCATCCAGTCCAACTCCCTGCCAAGAAGCACCCCCGACAGATAGCCATCCAGCCTCTGTTTAAAAGCCTCCAAAGAAGGAGCCTCCACCACACTCTGGGGCAGAGAGTTCCACTGCTGAACAGCTCACACATTCAGGAAGTTCTTCCTAATGTTCAGATGGAATCTCCTTTCTTATAGTTTGAAGCCATTGTTCTGGGTCCTAGTCTCCAGGGCAGCAGAAAACAATCTTGCTCCCTCCTCCCTGTGACTTCCTCTTTCATATTTATACATGGCTATCATGTTTCCTCTCAGCCTTCTCTTCTTCAGGCTAAACATGCCCAGCTCTTTAAGCCGCTCCTCATAGGGCGTGTTCTCCAGACCCTTGATCATTTTAGTCGCCCTTCTCTGGACACATTCCAGCTTGTCAACATCTCCCTTCAATCATGGTGCCCAGAATTGGACACAATATTCCAGGTGTGGTCTAACCAAGGCAGAATAGAAGGGTAGCATGACTTCCCTGGATCTAGACATTATACTCCTATTGATGCAGGCCAAAATCCCATTGGCTTTTTTTGCTGCCGCATCACATTGTTGGCTCATGTTTAACTTGTTGTCCACGAGGACTCCAAGATCTTTTTCACATGTACTGCTCTCGAACCACGCGTCCCCCATTCTGTATTTTTGCATTTCATTTTTTCTGCCTAAGCGGAGTATCTTGCATTTGTCATTGTTGAACTTCATTTTATTAGTTTTAGCCCATCTCTCTGTTAAGATCATTTTGAATTCTGCTCCTGTCTTCTGGAGTATTGGCTATTCCTTTTCCTCTCCTTGTAATAAGAAACCTCTTCCAGATTCACACCTACCAGATCTCCTGGAATGTATTAATAACTCTTTTCCCCAGCTCTTCTAGCTATGTGCTGACATGGGTAATATGGGTAATATCACCCTGCTCATCAGGTTAAACTAGTCACACTTGTCTGCTGCATTTTCTCATCCATGGATGCTTCCCCTGATGTGTGGGTTACTGATAGGGACAGTTTCCTTATGAAATGTCAACCCTTTAGATATTTCACAACTGACAAATAATTGAGAAGTTCCATGATAAGTGTGGAATCTTTTTTTAGGAATGCACAGTCAGTTTAATGAATTCTTTTTATTTTATATACAGGCAGTCCTCAAGTTATGAACAGGATAGGTTCTGAAGGTTTGTTTTTAAGTTGAATTTGTTTGTAAGTCAGAACATGTACATTTTAAAGTGTAACTCCAGTCATATATATCTTGCTTATCTAACCTTCGCTCATCCAATGCTCTGTATTATCCAACGCAGTCTGCCTCCTGCCCGTACCCACAGCTGTTTCTCTAGGCAGCAATGTGCAGTGGGTCTCACCACGCACCCACTGGGAGTGGCAAGACACAGCCAATGCAGACTTTTCCCATCAGGCACAGTATCTGGCCTGCACCAGCTGCGTCTCGCCCCTCCTGGCGGGCGCCTGGAGAGGCAAGGATCACAGATTTTTTTAAATCTTCACGGGACTGAACTTTTTTATGGATTTAATTTCAATGTTGTTACTGTAAGTTCATTTTATGAATTTCTATCTTTATTTGTAGTCAACTTGTTAGTAGTCSATGTTTTTGTAATCAATGTTTTCAATACATTGCGATGTTTTGGTGCTAAATTCGTAAATACAGTAATTACTACATAACATTACCATGTATTGAACTMCTTTTTCTGTCGATTTGTTGTAAAACATGATGTTTTGGTTCTTAATTTGTAAAATCATAACGTAATTTGATGTTTAATAGGCTTTTCCTTAATTCCTCCTTATTATCCAACATTTTTGTTTATCCAACGATCCGCCGGCCCGGTTACGTTGGCTACGCAAGACTCTACTGTATAAATGAAAGCTCTGGATAGCATAGGGAAGGGTTAAGGCAATTCTGTTCATGAAAGAATCTTGAAGGTTCACACTTACCTAGATTGATTTTATTTTCAAATTTTCGTAGGGCTTTGTCTGTCGGAGTAGACATTTTTGCTGCATTGCTGTTAGAAATCTGTTTATTTGTCTGAAACAACACAGTATGTGATATAATTGAACCTTGATTAAAAAAAAATCTCAAGATGCATACATTCAATGTTCCCAACCTCATTCCCACTATCAAACAATTAGGAAAGAATGCTACTCATCTAAACCCATCTCTCCTTTCATCCCAATTCTTCCATGCCACTTGCTTCCAAAGTTTCTTTCATATATAAAGATGGTGGCAAATATTGATATGATTAGGTTGCTGTAAGTTTTCCTGGCTGTATGTATGTCTACTATTTTTTTCTGTGTGCGCAAGTAATGCTAATCATTATAATAGATTTATGCAAATGAAACTACTGATTTATTAAATGTAATATATTGCTATAACAGTTCAAAACACAATAAACCAATAAACACAACACACCTGTGGGTTTCTTCCTCCAGAGAGTGGGTTTCGCTTGGTGACCTTTCCAGCATCGTCATCCCAGTCCCAATCATCTTCTTCGCCTTCACTGCTCTCATAAAATTCTTCCACATCTGCTTCCTCAATTGAACGCCACTGCTCTGTTTTTACTACCACCTTCTCTTCCAGAGCTGCTTTAATATCCTGTTCAGGTCCACTGTTTTTTTTAAACATACACACACACACACTTAATCATATAATGCAACAGAAGAGAATGAACAACTTTTAAAATGATATATTCATTTTAAAACCCCAAAAAGTTAACCAACAACACTGTATTTAATACAATTTTGAAAATTGTATGAGATGAAGTTTTTGAAATGTGGAGGGCCCACATTCCCCTTACAGCAATGTGGAGGGCCACCGCATTCCCCTTACAGCAAGGACTCTCCACTGTCTCCAATAAGTGAGTTGTTCTTTCCCATGTTCAGACATTGCTTCCAGAAGACAGTTTCTGCAAATGTGGGTTGAAAGTGCTTTGTTTCCCATTCCTTTCTCCTCAAAATTGGAAAAAGCAAAGGCGACAGAATAAACTGGCAACATTTCATTCCTTCTCTTATCTTTCCCATGTGATGAGGAGGAAGGAGTGAAGTCTGCTCTCCAGCTGAAGCAGTAGGTGGAAAACCTCCCATCTGGCACTTTGTCCAGGAAGCTACACAGCCTGAAGGTTGGCATACAGAATCTGCTTCTCCCCCTTGCTGAAATCATTCTCTCTGCCTTTATATTAAAAAACAGAAATTTTGTAAAAACTGGAAGGTTAAATGTTCCCTAATACTTTTTTTCGTATCAGGAGCGACTTCAGAAATTCCAAGTCACTTATGGTGTAAGAGAATTAGATGTCTGCAGGGACACTGTCCAGGGGACACCTGGATGTTTTACCATCCTATGGGAGGCTTCTCTCGTGTCCCCATATGGGGACAGATTCGAACTGCCAATCTTTCGGTCAGCAGTCTTGCTGGCACAAGGGTTTAACCAATTGTGCCACTGGGGGCTCCTATGAAACAATACTGGAAAGCATGAATTTAATAATGTACTTCTGTTAACCAACACAGGTCCCATCTACACTGACCATTTAATACAGTTTGAAAAGTGGTTTTGCTGGGCATAGGAAATCCTGGAACCACCTTGAAGTCCAGATGGTGATGACACAATCCAGAGTACTGATGCATATTAAGGGCTGTCTTCATGCACTTGTGTGAGTGAGTTGTCTGGCCACCACAATTTGAAGCTACTTCAAACTGCCTCAGATCTATTCAACATTTCCCAAGTCAATCTAAGGCTTAGTACAGGAGTGGGAAGAATATGAACCTGCAGAAGTTGTTGGGCTGCAATTGCTATTGTAACAACATTGTAAACCCAGGGCTTAACAGCAATCCTGAATCACACTTGGCAATAAGAGAGGACTACAACAGCTTTCTTCTGCAGCATCACACAGGCAAGTCTTTTGCCTTTGGAGAGGGATAGTGTTCATAACAGCTGTCAACACAGTGTGGCCACCAAAGCCTACCAAGCCTTCTCAGCACCTGAGCTGAGAAAACATTCCAGGGAAAGAAAATATGGGAGGAGTTATCCAGGAAAAAGAGAAAGCAGTTGTGACAGCATCAACAGGACTGCCTATTTCTTGAGATTTCCAGGGCAGCCCTTCCATAGTGTCTTCAAGCCAGGCATTTAAGAAATAGGGCGCTAGAGCAATATATGGCCACCAATTCCTCCTGCTGCCACTGTTGTTCCACAGGGGCAAGGATGTCTTGGACCTTGAGCAAAGGGAATAGCAAACACTATCTATGGTCTGTTCCAGTGTGCCTTCCCAGAATAAAGGAATAACTCCCAGCAAAATGTCCTTACAAATGCACTTTAACTGCTAGATTGCGTTTGATGGCATCCCTCACTTTTTAAAACCCTCCTACGAGATATATCCTACCTTGTTCATGACAAGCGCTATTTTTTAAATTTTTAAATTATTACATTTGGCCTGGCCATAGGTTTTTAAATCCTTGTGTGTTATTGTTATATGTGATTTATATTAATTTGCATTGCTTTTCTGTTTTGATGTGTTATTGGGTTTGGCCTCATGTAAGCTGCTCTGAGTCCCTTGGGGAGATGGTGGCAGGGTATAAATAAAGTTTATTATTATTATTATTATTATTATTATTATTATTATTATTATTATTTGCCTCTACTGAAACCAGAGCCTGTTTTTAATAGAATGATCCTTTGTATTATTTTAGTGAACACATTTATTGGTTTACGATTTTTTTCCTACTAAATACAGATGTGCAAGGAACTCAGCAGAGAGAACACAAAACCAAAGTTTAACCATCTTCAAGAATTAAACCTTCAGCCTTAATTCATACATTTTCCTCCATCTAAAGCAGCGATTCTTAACCTGTGGGTCCCCACATGTTTTGGCCTACAACTCCCAGAAATCCCAGCCAGTTTACCAGCTGTTAGGATTTCTGGGAGATGAAGGCCAAAACATCTGGGGACCCACAGGTTGAGAACCACTGATCTAAAGGTAGTTCAAGAATTTCGTACAACAGGAACATACTGTTGATGAAACCAAGCTGCTCAACCTGAGCTTTCCAAACATTTCGTGTTGGTGGCACACTTTTTAGACATGCATCATTTTGTGACACAATCATGCAGTTTTCCTGCCAAGCCAGACGTTAAACTAATCCTTTATTAGAATAAGGATACATACATATTGTATTAACCAAATATATGGGTACACAACATATCTCCTGAAAACCGTTCATATATATAAAATATGTGATTTATTGCTTATTTTTCATAAACTTTGCATGACACACCTACACACTGCTACCATCAAACCATCATGTTGTGACACACAGTTTGAAAAGCATTGTGCTGGACTCGTAATGTATCTACAAGTTCAGGTTAAGAATGATGGAATAAACCTTTGGAAAGGATACTGTTGCTCTCTATGGCACGAGCACACATTTTTCTCCCTATATTCCTCAAACATTTGTTCATCTATCCAAACAACAATATTGACTCCATTTATCCAAACAAAAATATAGAAACTGGAGTATGATGATAGGTGACGAGAGCTGTTATTTGAAATGCAACACAGGCAGGCAGCTGTAGCCTACCAGACATTTTTGCACTACAAATAACAACAACAACAACAACAACTTTATTTTTGTACCCTTCTCCATCTCCCCGAAGGGACTTGGGGCGGCTCATATGTAGACAAGCCCAAGGTTCAACATAGTTAAAATATAACAACAAAATTCATAAAATCCCATAATTCCTCAACAACGGCTGCCCATTGAAGGTTAATAAAAGTTGGAGTTCAACCACATTTGGATTATAGAACCTGAAAACCATAGAACTAGTCAATTTTTGCATTACCTGTCCAAAGGGTCTGCATCATCAAATTGTCCTGGAACTATCTGGCTCATAATTTCCTCCCTGTAATCCATTTTGGCTAGTCACCAATGCATACAATCTGTGCAGTCTTTTGCTTCCTACAAAATAAATATATGCAGATGTTGTAAGAGGAAAGTATAGTATACACCATATATTACGGGTGAGCTGTATTGGGGCATTATAAGCAGTGCAAATTATTGTTATTATACTATGCCATAAATAATCCTGGCTGGGAACGACTCACAGATGCAGAACTCTATCTCTACATCGTAAAACATTATCTTCTGAAGATCAATTATTATAATGCATTGAAAAAGAAGACCTATGTGCTACAAACTGAACAGGAATTATATGTTTGGCCCTGAAGTATTGGACTGCAATTCCCATCAGCTCCATCCAACATGGCCAATGGCAAAGGAAAAGTAAAGCCGCTTTCTCTGTCTTGGACCATGTTGTGTTTTCTGTTTGACCAAAAGACACAAACACTTTGGATATGTAAGATCACTCCTTTGAATATTTTACTCATAAATAATCTATTTGCATATCAAATTTTGTCAGCATCCCAGAGATAAGAGAATAGGGACTACTCCCCCTAATGCATCAAATAAGTTTACTAGGGCTGTAACTGCAGGAGACTTCTTTTTAAAAATGTGAGCAGCCAAATATGCTATGAAAAATGTTGACATATTTTTTTCTCAATATTTAATTAAAAGTTTTGACAAAACACACACACACAAAGCAAGAATACTTATGAATACATAAACACAGACAATGAACATACATCTGTACTCTATAACTAAATCTATCAATATACATAAATCGATTTTAAAAGTGGATTTCCAGCTTCTCTTTTGATTTCTCTATACATTTAACATTTTCTTCCACTTTATATTCCGAAAATTGTTGACTTCTGCTTGTTTTAACATTTATAGGTGAATATCCAAACATTCTATGAATCCAAACCTGTACATAAAGTCTGTCCTTATCCCTCAGATATATATTGACAAAATAGTTTCCATTTTTCTAAGAATGTTCAGTGACTTATCCTTCAAGAACACTGTTAATTTTTCCATTTCTATTAATTCCCACATCTTCACTGTCCAGTCTTCTATAGTTGGTGTTTCCGTCTTTTCCCAGAATGGAAACAATTAGACTTGGCCCATTAGAAACAATCTTGTTAATTAAATGGGGAAATACAATCCAATGTTTTAAAAGCAGAATAGATAATTTAACCATTCAATAGTTTGATGTGTATGCTAATTGCAAAGACAAATTAGTTAATTCAATGAGGCAAATTTCATTCAATGCGGCAAATTTTAGAAACTCGGTATTGTTTCATTTCAAATGTATTAGATACGTGAACCTGATTGTTTTCTTTGTTTTTCATGCTGGAATAACAAGATTTGTCTACAAAATGAGAAAATGACTACAGAATTAAAGCTAAACAATAGTAATTTCAAGACAAAACAGTTTTTGAAAGATGTCTTCATGGTATATTTGGCTGCTCACGATTAAAAAATATAAAGTCAAGTCTTTTTTCTAGATTTGGAGAAAGATGAGCATGTTGCTGAGGAGCTTTGGATGTGATTTGGGGGGGGGACTGGGTGTTTTAAAATATGTTTAAACTGTATTTATTGTATTCCAACTGTATGTTTAACCTAACGCACACAATACCTAACTGTTGGCGGTGGCCAGGAGCACCTTCTCACAGTTAAAACTTGTGTGACAGCTGTGCTCATACCGTGAGACATCAGACCTGATCACGGTAGTCCACACCTTAGTCACATCCCATTTGGACTACTGCATCGTTTTCTGTGTGGGGCTGCAATTAGTGCAGACAGGTAGCTAGATTGCTAACTGGAGCGTCGTATTGTGAGGGGACGATTCCCATGCTGTGGCAGCTTGACTGGCTGCCAGTCTGCTTCCAGGCTAAATAAAAAGTGAGGGTCATTACCTATAAGGCACTAAATGGTTCAGGTCAAGGCTATTTATCTAATTGCATCTCACTATACAGACCATCCCATGCACTGCATTCTGCAGAGGAGGCCCTCCTCTCAGTCCCACCCCCATCTAAAGTTTAGGTGGTGGGAATGAGAGAGAGGGCCTTCTCCATGATTGCTTCCCATCTCTGGAACTCTTCCCCCCCCCCAAAAAAAGAAAGAACAACAGTCCCAACCCTCCTCTCCTTTAAGAAACTTCTAAAAATGCACCTATGCACTTTAGTGTATGGAGAGGAGGACTAAGACACTTTACTTGGAATGCTGGCTAGTCCCACTTGTACTATATGACTGCCATGTTACATTTCAAATCAACACTGGCGCCAACCATTTTTAATGTAACTGTATTTTAAATTGCTTTTGGGGTTATTTGTTGTAATGTTTACTGATGTTTTAGTTGCCTATGTCTTATTGGATTGTTTTGTTTTATTTTTCATCACAATCTTTAAATTTTGTGTGTTATTTTCTACTTGTGAGTTTACTGATTGTATTGTTTATTTTGTTTATTGCTTGTTGTTTTATTATTGCTTCTTGTTTTGATGTGTTTTTGGGCTTGGCCTCATGTAAGCCGCTCCGAGTCCCTTGGGGAGATAGTGGCGGGGTATAAATAAAGTTTTATTATTATTATGCTTAATTGTTTGTTATAAGCTCATTGTTATGACTTCTGCTTTATTGCAGGCTTCCCCAAACTACCCTCCAGCTGTTTGGGCCTTCAACTCCCAGAATTCCTGACAATTGAACAAGCTCATTAGGGCTTCTGGGAGTTGGAGGCCTAAACAGCTAGAGGGCCGCGGTTTGAGGATGCCTGATTTATTGTGTATTATAAACATTTGTACTCACTTGAGGCATTGAAAGCTTGCCTTTTTGTATGTGTAAATTGTTTTTATTATTATTATTATTATTATTGACACAAAACCACAGCATGTCACAGCAAATGAGATATATATGCTGGATTTTGTATCAAAAATTCACAAGTCGAACACTTCCCAAGCGTCAAGGACTGTGTGATGTATTTTCAAATAATGCGTGCAGATCCAAGGTGGCCTTTAGCAGCTGACAGATCGTGATTTTGTCAATGTTTATTGTTTTTAAATGCGGCTGAGATCTTTTGGCAAAGCACCCAGTGCGCCAATGACCACTGGGACCACCTGTACTGGTTTATTCCAGAGACTTTGCAGTTTGATTTTGAGGTCTTGATAGCAGCTGAGTTATTATTATTATTATTTAATCGTTTTTTAATTTTTGTATTTGCTTTGCTGTAAACTGATCAAAGGGTGTGACTGTTAGCCGCCTTTAATAGAAATAAAGTAAAAAAAACCACCCAATAATAATGAATGTATTAGATGAGTTAGGTATCCATTATGGCTAGGAGATTGTGGAATTTGTTACTGCTAACATATGCAGATCTTAGGAGTAACATGAGAAGATCTGCATATATTATTGTATGTTCATTTATTTAAGAGAATATCTACATTATCTTCATAAGCAAAATAAAGGTCCTCCACCTTCTTCACCCTCAAAATGAAAACAAGCATTTAAAAAGAAAGCAATGTTACACAGGAAATGAATAGTACCAAAAAGAAAACACCAATCTAAAATACTTTCCATTCCAGCAAAGCAAAAAACAACCCATCAAAACAATTTCTTCAAAGGCACCCAAAAGTACATCTATAGAGCAAAACAGTGTGATTTAGAGTAAAAGCAGAAAAATTCAAACCTAGAGACACTATTCCCACCAAGCATCCCTTGCCCACCTCCAGCACCACAGAGAAAGCGAAGATTTCCAAGCTTTCCACCCACGTGGTCCGAATCCCACTTCTTCCGGCACAAAACGTCAGAAGCTACGTTCTACGGATCCTTCCGAGGGCCATCCGCAGCCGTTTCTCGTAACAGCGGCCGGCTCCTATTCCCAAAGGAACGACAAACTCTGTCCAAAGAACGCCAAATCGCCAGCCCAAAGTAATCGCCAATCGATGAGGCTTATACCTCTGCAGTCGACTGCTTGGGTCTGTGTTCTCATTCTCCTGTATGTATGTAGGAATTCCATCTCCCGCTGATGGATTTGATTGGACCATAAAGAAATGACGCAATGAGCCCGCCGTCTGCAAAGAGGACACGTTGAAAGCGCGGCATAGTGGTTAAAGCTCAGGTCTGTGATTCAGGAGGACCCAGGTTCGAATCCGCCTTCTGCCAGAGAAAACCAACTGGGCAACCTTGGGCAAGACACACTCTCTCAGCCTCAGAGGAAGACCAAGGCAACCCTCTCAAGATTTTTTTTCCAAGAAAACCCCATGATGGTTCATGGTTTAGAGTTGCCTTGAGTGAGGGCCCTTCTACACTGCCATATAAGATCCAAATTATCTGCTTTGAACTGAATTATAGGACAGTGTAGACTCATATAATGTACTTCAGTGCAGCTAAATTTCATAGCATTGAGTGTTGTCAAACTGCATTCATTCTACATGGGCTTATCCCCATGTAAGCCGCCCCGAGTCCCTTCGGGGAGATAGAGGCAGATACAAAATTAAAGTTATTGTTATTATTATTATTATTATTATTATTATTATTACACAGTGTTCTTCTCATTTCACTCCCCTGTTGTATCAGCTGCCGACCCAGTTCCGAACACAATTTGAAGTGCTGGTTTTGACCTATAAAACCCTATATGGCTCTGGTCCAGCGTATCTGTCCAAACGTATCTCCTACGTCCCACCTCAGAGCTTAAGATCCTCTGGGGAGGCCCTGCTCTTGGCCCCGCTGTTGTCTCAAACATGTTTGGCGGGGACGAGGGACAGGGCCTTCTCGGTGGTAGCCCCCCACCTGTGAAATACACTTCCCGGGGAAATTAGATCATCATCATCCCTCCTCACCTTCAGAAAGAAGGTAAAATCGTGGTTGTGGGACCAAGCCTTCAGGCAATCAGGTTAAAGGACAATGGATATTTGGCTATGGCTTGGAAGTGGATTTGGATAAGAGAAGCAGAGTAATCATTAGTATATGGCTAGAAAAATAGCCACCAGACTGGCAATAGCTAAATGGATCTTAAGTATACTGTTTAATTTTTTATTTTAAAGTTCATGGTTTTAATTGTTATTTTTGCTATTTGTATTTTATGAAGCGGCAGTGAATTGTTGCCAATTGTAAGCCGCCCTGAGTCCCTCTAGGGGTTGAGAAGGGCAGGGTAAAAATGTTCGAAATAAATAAATAAAATAAAATTCTGCATTGTAGTCTCCATTCTGAATGACTGATCTCAGGCCGTACCCCAATTGCAATAATTGTTCAGCTACTTCTGCTCCTTCAACCTACTATTCTCTGTAGATCTCAGCTCTTTATATATATTTCCTCAAATTGATATTAGCCACTTTGAGTCTCTTTGAGAGAGAGGAAGCAGTATACTAATACTGCAAATAAATAAATGTAATACTGCAAATAAATAAATGTAATACTGCAAATAAATAAATATATGTTTGTAGAATTGCAGCCATTGTACTGATTGACTTCTTACAAAAAAAATTGGTGTCAGAAATGACTTGAGAATCTGCAAGTCACTTCTGGTGTGAGAGAATTGCCCATCTGCAAAGATATTGCCCAGGGGACACCCAGATGTTTCTATGTTTTACCATCCTTGTGGGAGGCTTTTCTCATGCCCCGCATGGAGAGCTGGAGCTGACAGCGGGAGCTCATCTGCACTCTCCCTGGATTCGAACCTCTGACTTGTCGGTCTTCAGTCCCGCTGGCACAAGGGTTTAATCCATTACGCTACCAGGGCTCCTTACAATTACAATTAAACTCTAGTCATCTACTACTTACTTTTGGTAAGTGGTAGATAACCATTTGGCCTGTAATTGCAGGAAACATGGACTGATTTGTTAAGCAGTAGTCAGAATTTCCAGGAATTAACTGCCTGTCCAGACTCTAGGCACAGTTTCAGACGGAAGGGACATAAACAAAATAATTGAAAGCAAATTTTTAGACTATATTTTAAGAGCATTTATACAAGTGACATAGACAAAAATGGTAACTAATCAATTTAATTAAAATTTAAAAATATCAGTTTCCTTACCACAATTTTTTCTGCAACCTATTTTGGTTCATGATGTACTTATATAACTATCTGCACCTGAGGACTAGGTAGCACTACAGTAATGGGTGTCTACTTAAATTTTTCATCCCATGGACAGCTCCAGTAAGATGTAGAACAGGAGCATTTCAAGAAGCAAATAACCAATTATTAAATAAGGTATATACATTTTTGAAATACCACAGTGATTGTCAAACTTTGGCCATCCAGGTGTTTTGAATGTTTAACACTCAAAAGCCCCAGACAGCTTGGCTAACAGTCAGGAATTCTGGAGAACCAAAGTTTGGGAACCACTGTCTTCAAGTGTGTCTACACTGTAGAATTAATCCAGTTTGATACTACTTTAATTGCCATTGCTCAGTGCAAGTTTTAGTTTTTTAAATGTCTTTAGTTTTATATGCCCAAAAATTATATTCCTCACCAAACTTCAAATTGCATTATTCCATAGCATTGAGCCATGGCAGTTAAAGTCGTGTCAAAATGTATTAATTCTGTCATGTAGATGCACACTTAGATTAAAGTATTCTGTATACTGTATAACATATTTTTGAGATATCTTATCAGCTAGAATTATCAGTGGCACAGATACAAACACAAACATGTACCACTCCGCCTGGCACCACATCACTTCATCACTCTTCTCCTGTCAAATTTACATCTTGCTGCTACTTGTACATCACAGTTGATTTTTCTCATATTATCTGTTCCAGTCACAGACTCCTTGGCATTTCCAGTTCCTGTGTGCTAGCAGTCTTCACACACTGATATCTTCTCCACAATTATTTGGCAAAAGAATCAGCCAAGAAACACATATTGCAATTGGCAGCATGATGGGTAACTTGAAGAGAGAGACCGGGCTGCTGACTATAATTTGTTTGTCAGCAAAGCAGTTACCCCTTGGCATTTGTACCCCAAAGCAGAACATGAAACAAAGGACGATGTCCCCAAATGGTTGGATTCCCGGGAGGAACTAGGACCCCTTGGTAGCCCTAGTTTGGCTGGTGGGGAAGGTGGTGGCGGCAGATAATGGAGGTGTCCCAAGCCAGAGGAAGAAACCCTTTCTTCTCAGAAAACTCAAGAGTTTGTCTCTCTGGGGGGACTACAAAAGGCTCTTTGGATCCTTTTGGGTTCAGCCCACAATCTTGTGGCTCTACTTTCTCTTCAAAGAGGAGGATTGGGATCAGGGACACATGTGACAACCCTGCCTTCTGGGCCCTTTCCAAGGGAAGCTCCAGGATGGTTTTCATTTGAAAAGGTTCCATTTTTGCTCTGGGTTCTAAAGCTGGAGGTGTTTACCTGGTTGCCAAGGAGACCAGGTGGTTCCAAGCAGACCAGAAGTCTCTGTGACAGTTGGTGCCACCCATTGCTTTCCTGGACTCAGTCGTGGGCAGAAAGGCTTTGTGGCAGATCCAGCTGGAGGTTGCCCCTCTGGCCTGCAGTGTGTCCCCCTCAGGATGGTCTTGGTCAGCCAGTTCAGGATGAGAAGCCTCAATTCCCATCCACTAGAAGGAGGCAACTGAGAAGGGACCCTTTTTTTCAGCCCTGGTTCTGGTGCTGAGAGGTCCCTCAAACTTTGTCTCCCCGTTTTTTGCAAATGGTAGTTCCTTTTATGCTGCATGGGCACTAAAGATGATAGGAAAATTCCTGTGGCTCCCCAGAGCTCTCTGTCATGGTCTTGGAGGAAGACTCCATGATAAATTACATTCAATTAAACTGTATGGATATAAGGTATAGGTTAGCTAACTATCTTGGATCCATGAGAAGGTAATTTGTGTGTATTACAGGGATAAAAATGTATTTGGAACAATAACATCTGCTGTTGATATGGTGTAAAAAAAGGATTGGTAGGTTCGATGTATTTAAACCATTGGTAAGTGTTAATACTTTATTCGTTGACTAGAATATTTATTGCCATGCTAGAACAGTAAGAGACATGCAGTGACATTTATTTTCAACCACATTTAGGGAGTGGCCATAACACCATTAACCAACAGGTCAATTTTGTAGACAAGGTCACAGCCAAACCAAAACTCCCTTGCATGTTTTATGGGCTTGGACAGGGGATCAGGGTACATACAATTTTCCTTGAGAGACTGGGTTGGCACTGGTGGGCTTGGTCGGCTAGACCAGGGGTCCCCAAACTACGGCCCGCCGAGGACATTTCTCCGGCCCACCTGGCCTGGCCTGGCCATGCCCACCCGGCGCCGCTCCGTCAATTGCAGACACCCTCTGCTCCGGCCGCTCTGCCTGTGTGGGAGGGAGAAGCCTCCCAGGTGGGTCCTCTGCAGAGCAGAGCGGCTGGAGCAGAGGGTGTCCGCAATTGACGGAGCGGCGCTGGGTGGGCGTGGCCAGGGAACGCCGGCGTGGTGAAGGCAGGTGAACTACAACTCCAAAACTCAAGGTCAATGCCCACTAAACCCAGTATTTTCTGTTGTTCATGGGAGTTCTGTGTACCAAGACTGGTTCAATTCCATCATTGGTGGAGTTCAGAATGCTCTTTGATTGAACTATAAATCCCAGCAAATACAACCCCCAAACGCCACCAGTGTTCACATTTGGACATATTGAGTATCAGTGCCAAGTTTGGTCCAGATCTATCATTGAGTCCACAGTGATTTATGGAGGCAGGTGAACTACAACTCCAAAACCAAAGGACACTGCCCACCAAATCCTTCCAGTATTTTCTGTTGGTCATGGGAGAACTGTGTGCCAAGTTTGGTTCAATTCCATCGTCGATGGGGTTCAGAATGCTCTTTGATTGTAGGTGAACTATAAATCCCAGCAACTACAACTCCCAAATGTCAAGATTCTATTTTCCCCAAACTCCAC